AAAGCAACCCTGACAGTCAGTAGATACAGAAATAGCAATTATTATAAACCCAGAATAATGGTTTACCTTCAATGGGAATTCCCTACCATCTCCACAATAACGGTAAGTGGTTTGGGAAATAATGATTTTAGCTGCATATCGTCAAGGCATTAAATAACTTTTTTAATGTTTCCAATTATTTCACGGAGAAAGTCTGTTTGCTGCTGGTTGTCTCTTACAATTCTTTATCACCTATTAAAAGCGCCTTCAGCAGATACTAGCCTCTAGCTACAAATTAACATTTTTTCCATTGAGTTTACTTTTATGGGAAGCTTTTATATATACCTAGTGACAGGATACACTTTCCCTTTGTAATTAAATTTAGTTAATGTTTTCTCTTGGTATTAACTTTAAAACCCTGGGGAGTGGGGGAGGACACAAAGAAAGGAACACTGTTCTAGCCATTCCTGATCACAGGCAACTTCATGTCTGTATTGTAACCAAGACTACGAGGTTTGCTTTCTCCAAGAACAATAAACAAGCCCTTGCTTAAGGCCTGGTATAAACCACAACGGTTAAAAAATCTCTGCAGTTTCTATTCAACAAAAGGAAGGAAATGAAGTGTAATAGTTTACTTTGAGAGGACTTAGGGCAGAAAGCAGCACTAGGCTTCCTGACAAAACTACTTTTGTGCTATCAGAAAGAGGCCTTCCTACTCTCTTACTACAACCTTGTGAAGCGCCTGTCCTAGCAGCCTCCTCCATTACTGTACTACCTACTCCCATAACACTTGTCCACTAGACTCTACGCTCCATGTGGGCACCTTCCTACGTTGTTGTAACATGGATACATGATGTACATACCCCTTCTAGAGAAACAATCTGTATAAAATTTGAGTTTATGGGATGAATATGACAAATATTAAATTCTAACAAAGTACATGTGTTCAACAATACACAAAACTTGAATCATCAAACAAGGCGATAAGCTCAAACTACGAGCTCTTAAAAGGCACTGGAAGAATGTAAAGACTTTCGAATTACAGAAGGAAGGTATCAAGTCCAAAGTTTACAAGTGAGGGAAGCCTGCCTAACAAGTCTGTTCATATGTTTCTCCTCTATCTTCAGCTAACATTTTAGAGCCAAACTTGGCTCCTTCTCAATGACTTCTCCCTAGACTTCCCAAGGGCATCAGAGCAGATTGGTCCATGACCTCCTTCAAGACTACTTCCACAGTAACATGGCAGTATCTCCAATCTACAAACTAATTCTACTATTTTTCAAAGGGATAGTAATAAACGTCACAATGATAACATCCCCACCACCTTCTTACGAGCAGTAACGTAGCTCAATCTGAGTCCTAGTATCCCCAGGTAAGGATGACGATCAGGAGTGAGCGAAGAGGAGACAGACAGGCCCTCAGGCTCTCCCCGCTTCTGCCCAGCAGGAGAGCATCCTCACACTTCTCTCCCCACAGCAGGGCCCGATCTAACGTGAAGACAAAAGGAAGGTGAGGGCTGAGCTCCTGCTGCATGGGGCAGCGGTTCAACGCCAACACCTTTAGGTGGGTAACTAAGTCAGGGAGCTGTGTTGCTGCAGGGGTGGAGGAACAGAAGGCTGCAATGGAGGCAGAGGTGCTCCTGGCAACACCAAGACCCACTTGGGCAACTGCTCTCTTAGGTGACGAATGGGCAGGGTGGATTTCTGGATTCAAAAACAAACAAACAAAAACCGAGATAAGTTAGAATATTTGTATCTAGCTTTTTACTACCTTGTTTCTGCATGCTCAAATGGTATTTATTCAATTTTAGGTAGAAAGCTTCCCATCAAGTGGGCCTACTAACTTGTTAGGACATACATAGCACAGCATCCTCATACTGTGTCATGTTTGCTCATGAAGAAATATTTTGCGAACTAAACAGTGGTTAACTTCAAACATTACATTACAGTGGCTGTTTATTGCTCAACTATTTCTCGTTTTGAATTTGGTAATAGTTATCTAAGAGCCTTTACAAAGGCCAGGCCTCCTAGTGCCTCAAAGCAAAGGACAAATAGGAAGAAAGCTTACACTGAAAACCACGTGTCTCTCGGTAGGAAGTGCATTACCATTCTATTTCCCGAAACTTCACTTTCCTTATGAGTGGAACAATGCAAATATTTCTAAATAACAGATCTGACATCCATGTACTGTTTACTCGCCTCGCTCGTAAAAGAACTCAGATTCCGTCCTCTGGGACAAACAAGTAAAAATAATCTGCCCCTAATGTTAACATACAGGGTACGGAGTAAAACAACGGGGCCATTAAACAGCCCAAAGCCCAGGGATGGTTCTCATGTCAACAAAGTGGACGGGAGGCAGCTAAGATCTGCTAGCTCAGGGCCTGCAGGTGGGGGCAACGGCGAGCCCGGATTTCAGCGCGTCTCGGAACCGTCCACTCCCGCTGGATGCCCCCGGGAGAGAGATGCGGAGCAGGACGCCGCCCGCCGGCTCTCCGCCTGGAGTCAGGACCAGGCCTCGGGCGGTCGCTGCTCCAACTCCGACCGCATCCATCCCCACGCCGGCCCCAGCCCTGGGGCAGAGCACCGGTCCCCAGACCGTAAACTGCTCCTCCCCGGGCGGCGCGCATCTCTCGCAGGCTCCTGGTCAGCCGATCTCGCCTCCAGGCCACCCCGACCCCGCCACCCAGGACCCCAGGTCAGGGGTCTCCGACCTCCCGCCATTTCTCCTCGTCGCCGCGGCTCGCAGCAAGAGTAGAGACGCTCAAGGTGACACCTTGTTTTGGACAGAGGATCCGGGTTCTGGGCCCGACATCCCGGGCCCGGCTTCCCGGCAGACCCCCGTCGCCTCACCTGGCAGCGGCACACGATGTCGGCGTCCTGCGCCAGCAGATCCACCACCTTCCCCTTGCCTTCGTCGCCCCACTGAGCGCCGAGCACCACCGTCACCCGGTTCCCTCCGGGCCGCGCCCTGGGGCGGCCGCAGTCGCCGTTGGGCAAGGAGGATGCCGCCGGGTTGGTCTCGGCCAACGCCATGGCTCCGGTGACGCGAGGAGAGCCCGAAAGAGACGCGGGCAGCAAAGAGGGCGCGAACGGAACTGCTCCGCAGCCGCTAGCCACATGCAGAGGAAGGAGCCCGAGCCGGCCCCGCCCCCGCCCCCGCCCCCGCCGGGCCACCGCCCTCCGGCCAGGCCCCGCCCCGCTCCCCGCCACAGTCCGCTCAAGGAGGGACCATGACTGCCCCGCGCAGGCCGGCCTCGGCAGCACCGCCCGAGGAAGAGGCCCTGGTGGCGGCAACCGCCGCCACCCGGGACCGAGGCCACGCCCCTTCCATGACCTAGCGCGCCGCTCCTGGACGAACCTGGAGAGCGGAAGGCGCGGGGGCGGGGCTTCGAGCGCGCTGCGGCCTCAACGCTCCGCCTACCCTCCCTGCCTCCAGCTTTTCAAACTGGAGAGGCGCGGAAGTGCGTGCTCGAGCGTCGGACTACAACTCCCAGCATGCAACGCTCTGGGCTAAAGTGACCTGTTCTGGGGCCATAGCGTCTGCTCTGTGCAAGTTTCAGTCTCCGAAAGCATTCATTTGTAAATTATTCTTTAGTGATTTGTTTTTATTAAGAAGAGTGTGTACAAAACACAAGGGTAGAATTTCATAATACAAGTGGGGTGGAATGGGAACATACAGGTTTCGAATAGGAAAGTAAAGGACCAGAAGAATAAAGATGCGGACATGGAAAGGGACCAGCTCAAAGGTAAAGCGATAAGGTAGAGGGTGTAAGACCTGAAGACCTGGAGAGCAAGTAGAGTCCTAACGCTTCCCACTTTACACTTTAGTAACAGAGGCTCGAGGAGGAGGAGTGTGTTACTGATGTCGTATACCAAATGCCAGATACTATGATGCACTTAGGTCTTTCAGTTCCCACAACCACATGAGGTAGTTTATACTATCTTATCCTTATTTTAGAGGATTTAAAAGTGACCATGTTCTAGTGCGGGCTGAATTGCTATCTAGGCAGTCTGAGTCAACAGCGCAGCCTTTTTCTGGATGTACATTCCATTCTTATTAGCGCTTCAGGTGCGGCTAGATTCGGGAGTATATCTACTGCTGATCTAATGTTCTTCCAACTGCAAAACAAATCAACTATGACATATAATTCTGATATAAACTTGTCTCGGGGGGGGAAGTGGGCATAGAATAGCATTAAAAATAGTGTCTCCCAAATAACAACAACAAAGAAAATAATAAATATATATTTTAAAAATAAAACGTAGTGTCTCCCAAATCAAGTAAATGCAATCACTTTCTCCATTGGTCTCCATTTTATTATTTTTGTTCAATGATTTATTAAGTCAGTAAACACTGAGGATCTGCTATGAACGGAGACTGTGCCAGGCACTGATAACAGAAGGAGGAATAAAGACACAATTGGAGCCCTTCGGGATTCAGATCATTTGGTCTACCGACAAGTACACATATAAATTATAAAACTTTGGTGTAAACCAGAATGCTCTCCTACTTCTTCGTACTCAAGTGCATGAGATAGTGTCAGGCATACAGTAGGTGCTCGATGAGCACCTGTTACCGTTCATTTCTGTTCAACTTCGAACATGGAGTGCCTGCGCCCTGTGAAGCCCTGGTACATGTGTTATTTTGCCATTGCAGAGGTTATATACAATTACAGGGAAAATTTGGGCTAAAAGATAAACTAACTGAAAAGTTTTATCTTCATTCAGCCAACTCGTATTTTCCGAAGTGGTTTTGCTAGTCCACTCCAAAGAAACGAGCGTGGTTCTGCCTTACCTAAAATCTGGCTTAAATTTTCCACTCCAGCATCCAACTCCCAGGCTCGCGGGAGTGGACAGGCAGGCGCACCCGCACTGGCCGGGCTCGGGGGCACTGGCCGCACCGAGATCCTCAGCGCCGAGCCCCCCAGCGCCTCCCGCCGCGGGCTCCGCAGGCGCCCCCGGGGAACGCGAGGCAGGGGCCGGCGAGGCCTGGGCGGTTGAGCGGAGGGTCCCGGCGCCGCCATGGCAGCCCGGGGAGTGGCGGTGCTGCTGTCCTGGCTGAGCTGCTGCGGTTCCGCTCTGTGGAGGTAGAGGCGCCAGGCGTGGGCAGGGACACCGGACGAGGGCGTCCCTGGGGCCGAGCAGGGGACCCACCCAGCGCCTCAGTGTCCCGGGAACACCGCCCGTGCAGACCACCCTCTCGTCCCGCAGTTCCCTGAACACTCGCACCAGCGCCCCGCCGCCCCTTCTGAGAGTTTTCAGAGAATGAAGGCGGAATAGGAGGCGACGCCGCTAGGACTTGGCTGCTGGAGAGTCGCGGTAACGTCCCAGTGCTGTCTGTCCTCCGGCAGCTGAGCTCCTATGAATCCTTGAACCGGTTTCCTCCTACTACACTCTGCTTTTGCCTGAGAGGAGAGGGGCAAATGAGAACCCCAAAACTGCCCCCAGAGACTGGGGATGGGGGCCCCCTTCACTAGGATAATAAGGTCGTTGATGGTCAAATGATTTATGAGAAAGTGCGTTACAAAATGTAAGGAGATGTGATTCGCGTATAAAGTGAGTGGATTCGAGGGATGAAAACTTAAAATTCTGAGAGGTCCTCAATGCACGTTTGATTTTTGTTCAGTATTAGGTAACTGCTGGATTGGAAAGCGGACCAAAATATTTTAGAAAGATTTTCGACGTAGGTTAAAATACGGCTGGTTAATCTGAAAAACCACACTCTGCGAACGTTCTATTTAACGGAGGTTTTTCTATAACAATAATTATTGCCCTCCGACATGAAAAAATGTAAGAATACCAATAATAAACCCAACCTTCAGAGGCTTCGAATGGAAGGGACCCAGAGCACCTCACTAGGCCCACGCAGGTGTCAAATAGTGAGACGCCATTGGAAAGGTGAGTGAAGTAGTGAGAAAGCAAAAATGTGGTTTCTAATTGAACTTTGTAAGTCTTCGTTTTCTTCTCTAAAAGAAGATGAGAAAACCTCTCCCATCAGGTGGTTGTGATGCTTAAATTCAATGTGCTCTCAGCACATGCCTGGCAAACAATGGATCAAATAAATCATGGTAGCTGATATTATTAAGGATGGCCTGTGAACTCAGAGAGTTTATCAACTTTCTGTGTACATCAGAGGTCATCAAACTGTATGGTAATATTTTTTAGGCATTTCAGGCTATACAATCTGTTTGAATTCCTCAACTTTGCCACTGTAGGGGAAATCATACAACAACAAAATATATTATTAAAGTCAATTTCACTTGTTTCTTCTTGCTTTTGTAATGTGACTTGCCTTCTATTTATATTGGACAATGCTGCTTTACATAAATCATATAGACAGAAATTTAAGTACCTGAATAATAGAGGGAAATGAGAATGATTAAGGACTCACAGAAATTTGCTCTTTAGTGTTTCAAGCAAGCAATACTGCTTTATGGGCTTTTAATCTTTATTCATTTTATTTTAACTCAGTTTATAAGTGAAGGTAATGCAGCCAATATTCTTCAACAGTTTTCATCTTAAAACAAAAATAAGATGTAAAAGTATTTACATATGGTCCCCAACATATTATGGTTTCACTTATGATTTTTCAACTTTATCTGGGTATAAAAGCAATATGCATAGTAAACTACATGAGATAGTCAACATATTATTATAAAATAGGCCTATGTCAGATGATTTTTCCCAACTGCAGGCTAATGACAGTGTGCCGAGCACGTTTAAGGTTGGTTAGGTTGAGCAATGCTGTTTGGTAGGTGCATTAAATGCATTTTCAAATTACAGTATTTTCAGCTTACAGTGGGTTTATTGAGAGGTAACCCCATCATAAGTCGAGGGGTATCTGAGCTTCTCATTCTGGTGTCTTCAGATACTGAGAAAACCCTAACACCCCTTGAGTGGGGGTAGGTAGAGTTCACCAATATTCGCAGTTTTATCCCTGACTATGCTTTGCAGGAGGGTGCTCGGGCAGACATGCAAAGCTCTTGGCAGCCCAGACATGCTCTGACCAGGCATAGAAACGTTCTCCTTTGGAGGAGAAATTAGGTTAAATATTTATATCTGATTTTTTTTCCTCCACAGATATTCCACTAGCAGCCCAAACTACCGCATTTTTAGCACCAGGAGTACTGTAAGTGTTTTTATTCTTTTTAACTATATTTAAGTATTTTTTTTTTACTTTAGAGCAGAGTTCATTATACTCAGTTGTACAGCACACTGTCATTCTTTTGTTATTTTATATCTTTCATTTCATTTATCTTCCTAATAGCGATCCCCCTCTACGGTAATAGTCCTTAAATATGTAAGTAGCAAAAATAAGTAGTGTTGTTTTGAGCGTTTTGTTATTTAATATTCAAAAACTTGTGTCATGATTCAGACAGCATGACTATGTCTCATTTATCTTTTTCTTAACCCTCAGAACCTACTAGAGAACCAGTCACTGCCTAGATACTTAATATATTATTTCTAAAATGAAATAAAATAAAAATCTTGTAATTCTGGGGGGAAGCTACAAGTGTTTCAGAAAAGTTTCTTTTCCTTTGTCATATGACTGCGTATAATTTCAAAGAAGTCAAATTTTAATTATTCTTTCTTTAAATAATGACCCAGGAAATTGAACCCTACAGCTGACCAATGAGATGAAAATTGTGGAGTAAATATTTTTGTTTGAACTATTTTATCTTATTTTTTAGATTAAGTTAGAATATGAAGGAACATTATTTTCTGAGTGGCATGTGCCAGAAACTTGTTCTGTGAAAGATAAAAGGTAATATTTTTGTCATGAATGTCAATATATGTGCGTATTTACATGTAACAAAGCATCCATGTAGTGTGAACATTCAGATTCCAGGCTTTGATTTAATGTAAATTTCTTCCCATTAAATAGATGTGAAAAGAAAAACAAAATCACTTTGAAAATAGGATAGAAATCAAATGTTGCTATATTTTTACTTTTCTTATTAGCATACACATGAAGTTTTTAGGCTTAGAGAGTAGTAGGACAATTTTTCTAATCTCGCATGCATCTTTACCCATATCTCCTTTCTTGTTCTCTTTAAATGCTAGCTCACCCAGCACAGAACTGCGTTGCTCTTCTCCTGGTATTCAGATTATAAGACCGATTGTTACAGGCCCGGTAAGTTGATTTTAATGATAACTTATTAAGACTTACTACACTTGAATAATCATCCATGTTACATTTTACGTTGCCTTTTTTTTTAGCTTTCAACCTATTTTCGCCTGTTTTAAATAGTGTAAGGTGTAAGTGTCAATAAGTCTTTATTTATTTATTTATTTATTTAAAGATTTTTATTTTTTATTTTTAGAGAAAGGGAGGGAGAAAGAGAGGGAGAGAAACATCCCTGCGTGGCTGCCTCTCACGCGCCACCCGGTAGGGACTTGGCCCCCAGCTCAGGCCTGCGCCCTGACTGGCGGTCCTTTCAGTCTTTGGTTCGCAGGCCGTAGCTCAGTCCACTGAGACGCACCAGCCGGGGCAATAAGAAGTATTTTTAAATTATTGTCAATGTCATTAATTTCTAGATCTATCTCTGCAAATTATGTTATTAAGTGATAGATTTTACCTTAGTCTCTTCATTGGCATGTGAAAGCCCGGGTTACCGCTGTCTTGCAGCGTAGCCTCCTGTGACAATACCCAAGATTAAGAGCCCTTTTCAGAAGGTGTGTTTTTTTTATTCCACTCTATTTTCTTCAAGAAAGCATATGTGAATGCGAACAAATGAAAGTGATGTTGAATCCTCTCTAGTTTACCAGGACAGCAAAGCATTTCTAAACCTCGACACCTTTTTAATTAGTAACAGAGCACCGGCCCGCACCTCACAGCAGAGGTTGCCACACAAGTGGGTAAAGCCATTGCCATAGAAATTCCGTGTGACTAGTCCTGCCTGTACTTTGGGGCTTGTGCCTTCTTTTTAATTAATAGTCTTTATTTTCAGGAAATAGTAGAGTGATGTGGGAGAGGCCAGATGAGTGTTAATTCATGTTTTAACCCCTATAGATTGAAACATATTTGAATTTGGCTTTTTAAGCTTATGAGTGAAGTTTCATGAACACAATTTTCGAGGAAGTAAAGGATTTCTTTCCCTTTTGTTGTATGTTGGAAGCCCATATAAACATTACAGAATATGTTGTATAAAAAAACGCACACACAAATACATGCACATATAGGACCATCTTTGTCATTTATGTATAGTGTCATCAGATCTTACAACCTTTAAGGGAGGATGTACGACTTTTGAAATTCGAGGACATTGCCAGGCATTGCCAAATGTCCCCTGGTGAGGAAAACCGCCTCTGGTTGAAAGCCACTAAACAAGAAATTAACTGAATTGTGTTTCAGTAAAGAAAACGGTAGGAGCTCATGCCAGACACTCTTAACATTCAGGAAATTATGGGAGTTTTCTCTGCATCAGGAATCGTAGTCAAAGACTCAGGAACCAGGGGCAAAGACATACATATTTCCTCTTATTTCACAAAGTCAAATATAATGGAAACAATAAGCCATCTAAATTTGCCACCCATGAGAGTAAGTTCTTAATTACAGACAGTAATTGAAGAATTGAACTAGTATTATACGAATACTTATTAGTTCTATTCTGAAATTTATTCATTATACTTCATCTCATCTTAGATAATTAACTTAGTTCCTCTGTGACTTTGATACCTGTATCTAAATTTGTCTTTAGTTTAAAGTTAACTTCTTATATTTTGCTTTTTTTTTTTTAGGATTTAGAAGAAGAACGCTATTTATTTGTGGGCAGTTCTAATACTTGCTTTCTGTGGTATTACAGAGTTAAGTAAGTAATGCCATATTGAATACAAAGATTATTAATGCTTTTTAAGAGTATTTAGTTTAAGTTCTAATTAACAAATAGGTTATCTACATTACAGTTTCCATATAAGCTTTCATTCCATTGAAAAAGAGACGCAAATACTGGAGCCTTCAATAAAGCAGGGTTATTTGCTGACAGTTTAATTGTCCTGGTTCACATGGCCCCGTAGAGTCCGACAGCTTAGCAGTTTATGTGCAATTTTGGATTGAAAGGCCTGATAACCGCATTTCACACGCCCCTCCAGGAGTACACATTGAGCCGTTCCTCTGAATTACTGCCACCTTCCCACAAAGCAGAGATGGAGTCTTTCCTCCTCACAAAGCTGGCAGGCATGTGCTCTTGGTGGGGGTTTCAGAGATACCAATCAATCATCAGCTTCCCCTCTGTGGGTTTTGAACCAGTTGAGAAGTAGACATGGGAAAATCTGGGGGGTAAATTTCTGGTATGGCTGAATTGGAGAATAAACCTGCCTCTGTGGTCAAAGGAGCTACTTGCTACTTCCTCCAAGGAGAGACCAGAGGACCCATCAGAGGGGTGAATCCCGAGAAAGCACTTGTAGCCATTTCCATGGGTTTCCAATCTCAGTCACATACGCTGAGCCCCAAGAGCTGGCGGGAGAGACGGGTCCGCAGGCTGCCCTGACGCAGGTATGTTTCCCTCCATGAGGGAAAACAGAAGGAGCTCCGACCCCCACCGACCGGTCAGCCCGAAAAGGAGACCTCGTGGGAAGCTAAATGTTTTTGGTTACATAGGTCAGAAATGTTCACAACCTATTTCCTGTACAAACACCTTTTAGAATAAAAATGAAACTAATACCCATGAACCCACCACACAGGGCAAGAAGCATAACATGACCAGGACCTTAGAATATGCTCGAGGCCCATAATGGTCACATCCTACTCATCCCCCAAGAGTGAACCACCATCCTGAATGGTGTATGATAAATGCTCCCTTGCTTTTTTATAGTTTACCAATATCTGATTCTAAGAAAGTGTTTTGTTTTGTCAGTTTTTGAGTGTTATTTAATTGAAACATATATTCACCTGTGACTTGCTTCTTTCTCTAAACATTATGTTTTTGAGACTCGTCCATGTTCCAAACAAGAATCTTTAGTTCTTGCACTGTGAATGCTCAGTGATTCCGTGGTACGAGTATTTGTGGCTCACCCTGCTGCCAACGCATTTATTTGCAACACAGGTCCTTGCTACTCAAAGTGTGGTCCAAGGACAGGCAGCGCTAGCACCACCTGCAAAGTTGTTAGAAATGCAGACTCCCAGGCTTCACGCCACACCTACAGGATCACAATGGACATTTTAACAAGATCCTGAAGTCACTTGTGTGTCCATTATTGTTTGGGAAATACTGCCCTAACACACAGCAATGGAAGTTTCTCGAAGATGCACACTTAAAAGTAGAATTGCCCAAAATTAGGACATGTACTTGTTCAACTTTACTAGGTAATTTTGTGAAAAATTGCCCAAATTTTACATCTACACCAGAAGTGGACAAAAGTTCCCATTTGTGCTACATCGTGATGAACACTTAATGTTATCTGACTTTTTAATTTTTTCCAGTCTAGTAGGTGTGAAGTGATGTCATTGTGCTTTTTCTTTACATTTCCCTGATTACTATTAAGCATATTTCCATGTTTTCATGAGAAATTTTTCTTTCCTTTCTATTAAATGAGCATATTACCCATTTTTGAGTTATTTTTGTTTCATAACATAGTTTTATTATATTTTAATGACCAGGACATTATCATACATTTTTTAAAGTATTTTATCCCACTTTCTGTAGCTTTTCACTTTTTATGATCTCTATTGACAACAGAGGTCCTTAGCTGTGGTAAACGAATTTATAAACTCCTCTGTGGCTTTATGCCTTTTTAAATCTGTTTAAGAAATTTTACTGTACCTGCAACTTCATAAAAATCACCTCCTATATATTTTTCTAAAAGTTGAACACAGTTTCTCCTTCCACAATTAAGTCCTTAATCCACGTGGACTTAGTTTTTGTAACATGTTTCAAGATAGGGACCCAACTTTATTTTTTCTACATGAATAATTAATTTTTCATATCCATTTATTGAATAATCAATTTACCTGTAATGGCTGCTCGATCATAGGTCAGTTTTCCATGTCTGCATGGATTTCTTTCCAGGCTGGCTATTCTGTTCAGCTGATCTGTTTGTCTCTACTCAAATAAATTCTACATTATCTTTATTACAGTAACTTTATGTTAAAGTCTTGATAAATGGTAATGCAAGTACCCATCCCACTCCAACACCAATTCTAATTCTTCTTCAGGAGTTTTTAGCTACATCTTTTGGACCTGCTTTTCTTCCCTATGAATTTTTGGAATTGGTTTATCAAATTCCAAAAAACCCTATTAGGGATTTTTATAATTTCTCTAAATATTTTAATCAATGTAGAGAGTCTTTCTACTCAGTAACAATATAAAACTCTCCATTTATTTATATTCTTTTACATGTCTGCCAATAAAATTTTGTAATTTTTTGTACAGGTGCCTGGACATTTTTATTAGATTTATTTCTAAGTACTTTATATTTGTGTTGCTATTCTAAATAGTCAATTTTTTTAAATTGCATGTTTGAACCAGAACCTCCTGTTGTATATAATACAGTTTACTTTTGAATATTGATTTTTATATTCAGCAACTTTGCAAAATTCTTGTATTCTACTAATTTGTTTATATATTCTCTGGGAATTTTTACAAATCATATCACTTGAAAAATAATGTTTTTGCCCAATAAGTATGCTTTTTATTCTTTTTATTCTTACTGCACAGCTGGAACACAATGTTTCCTGGGGCGCTGGCAGGATCCCTGGTCTAATTTCTGATCTTAAAGGGAGGCTGGCATCCTTTCACTGTTTCCCGTAACATTTGTTACAGGTTACAGGTTAACCTTTACCTAGTTAAGGAGGTTTCCTTTTATTCCAAGTCAGCAGCGAATTTTTCTTATGAATTGGTACTGAAATATATTTAAAGTTTTTTCTGCTTCCACTTAAAAGTTCATATGGCTTTTCTCCTTGACTATGTTAATCTGGAGAATAAGAGTCAATAATATTTCTGCATTAAGCTGATCTTGTATTTCTAGAATAGTCCAACTTGGTGTTGATGAATTACCTTTCCTATAGATTGATGGATTGGGTTTGCTAGTATCTGTTTAGTTTTTTGTGTGTGAATATTCATGAGCGGGATTGGCCTGTGATTTTACTCCTCTTATAACATCTTTTTCTACTTTTGGTAGCAAGGCTATGCTAGATTCATCATATAAGTTAGCTCTCATTTTTTTCTTTCCTCTGAGAGACTTTGCGTAAGATTGGAAATATACATTCCTTGAGTATTTGTTGGAAACGTGCATAGAAACCCACTTGAATCTAGACTCTCTTGTGGGCGAAGGAGCAGGAAGATTTCCAACCTATTAATTTATTTAATGGTTATTGTACTAGTTTGGAATTCTAATCCTTGTAAAATCCGTTTTCATCCGCAGTATTTTTCTGGGGATTTATCCATGTCTTCAGTTGACGATGTCAGTGTAAATTTCAAAGTCATAAAGTTGCCCACAACATCTCTTATATCTATTTCATCTCTGAGGTAGTTGTAGTTTTGTATCTAAACATTTCTAACATTTTTATTTGCGCCTCCCTTCTGTTTCCTTGTTCTTCTTCCTAGGGATATTTCTATTTCTATCTTACTTGTCTTTTCAGAGAACCATCTTTTGGCTTTGGTGAGCTTTTCTATTGCTGTGGACATAGGAAGACACTGTCAGGTTTTTAAAGATCAATCATGCATCTGGCTACGGGAACTTGGACTGTTGTTAGAGAGGCGTGCAGATTCAAGCCGTCAGCCTCCTGGGACGGCACTTGAGACTCCTAATTATATTTAATTATAAACATAGGTAGCTTTTTTTTTACCATTTAGCATTTAATGATTTATCTATAGTGGAACATAAAGAAAATATCCCAAGATTTAGAGACATGTATATTGAAAGTAGAATATTCAAACTCATATTGAGCATACTGTTTACTAAAGTATGATTCCTCTTTTTGCCAACAGAAATTTCCCTCAAAACTTAACCCAGGTAAGACATTTTTAAAAAATTTTGTATATCCTTCGTATATGACTACTATAATAGTTCCAGGTTATATTCCATACTTCCCAGAAGAGGAATTTTCCAAACGAATTTTTCAACAAAATTTGCTTGGAGCAATGGCGCTCAAGGTATGGTCTGAGGACTGTTGGGGCTCCACGGGCCTTTTCAGAAGGTGCACGAGGTCTGCCCTTCTCCAACCTTCTACCTGCGGAGGAAAAACACCTTTATGAACAAGAACCTACTAAGAATAGTTATTTGTGGGGTGGAGTGACCTTACAGAAATGAGTGATAAAATACAGGGTGGGAAAGACAATTGTCACTGTATTTTTAATACAATGTGTTTTAACGGTGTGACTAAGATGTCTATTCAAGAAAAAATAAACAAGAAAGAAAAGAATTAGATCCACACCTAATGAAATGGCCATGACCTAACAAGTGACAAAAGCCAGTTACAAAGAGCCTGCGTAGTGTGATTTCATTTTTGTCAAATGTGTGTGGGGGCAGGGGCCTGGGGGTGGGGCGCTGTGTCCATCTCTGAATGCAGAGAAAGCTGGACGAGCGTCCCTACGAAATGTTAGCAGTTACCTCGGGTGTGCAGAAGAATATCACTAACTCTTCATATGTCTTTGAGTTGTTTCACTTATTAAAAACAACACATTGTCATGGTTTTTTAAAATGGGGTAGTCAAAATTTTACAAAAACATTTTTATGGTTATATCTTGTCACAACTGAAAATGAAATGTGTCCAAAATTTAAAGAAATGCAAACGTTTTATGTTATAGATTGTCGTCATATGGGTATACGACCCAGAAAATGCAGACCTCAGTGAGCTGCTGTGGGAGGCAGATTTTCCATCACTAGTAGGTGGAAACATTATTATCATAGATAAAATAATATGCTATATTTCTTTTTGAAGGGCTGTGAATATTTTAAGTGGCACAGAACTAACTAAATGCATTTTAATTATCCACTAAGTTGAGTTTAGTCATTATAGTGATTTTGAATTTGTGCTTGCTTTCTACAATTATAAATTTTTCCTTAGGATTGTTTTCTGAGCATTTGTTGCATTTTCTCAGAACCTCATTATTCATGAAGAGGCTGACCTTTATCAAGTGTTTTGCAGCTCTTCCTTGAGCATTTATCTCAAAGTCATCTTTCAAAAATCTGTCCATCTCCTTCCTGAGTCCTTGATCATGTAGAGACTAATGAATTTCTTAAAGGTGCAACATGGTGAATAAACAAGTCTTTTCTTTATTTGTTGCAAATTTACCTCTTTCAAGATTTTTCTGCCTTCAAATACAATAAAATGTATTGAAGAGAAATATAAAATGAGCAGTTTTAGCTTCTCATTAATATGTATTAATGAGTCAAGATCTGTCTGATTTTTAATAGCATTATCATAATGCAGGGTAATCAGATTCACAAGAAGGAGGCTGATAAATCAGAATGACAATGAATCAATTGTTTTATTTGGCAATCAACTTTAGAGAGAATAAAATGAATTAACGGTGATTAAATACTTTAAGCATTGCTGTTACTTAATTTCTAATCTTCTTAAATGAAAATATGCACATTTTAACATTATTTGATCCACACATATGTGATAATTTGCTTTTTTGCTCTGTTTAATTTTCATGTTTATTCATGACCATGTCATTTCCTTAAAATCTTTCTATGGCTCTCTATTACAAACAGCATGGACCCTGACTCTTAGACTGTTAACACGGCAGGTGAGGCCCTGGATACCCTCTCTCTGCCCCTCTCCTCTGGCTCTGTTGATCTGTGTGTTTTTGTCTCTGCTTATACTGGTGTTTCCTCCATAGCAACTGCTCATTCACTCCCTTTCTTCTCTACTTACATTTTAGGTCTCAAGTCAGGTATCCAAGATGCCTGCCATGATCAAATCAGGATGTTTTCCCATGGATAGTTTGAGGGAATTATTTTAGTGCTACCGTTTTGATAAATCAGGAACGAGATAGTTCCAGCAAAATGTAAATGATCTGTTTGGGTTTTTATCAGTCAAAGTGTAAGGTGCTGAACAGACCCCCAAACCCTCCCTCTCTCTGACTCTTCATTCCTCATCCTCTTCCTTAACCATCCCAGACCGAACTCTAAATAGTGCCTAATGTTTAATGCATTCCTGTATTATTTTATCTTTGAACCTCAACCCACCTCTGTATCTTGTCACACTGACTTCCTCTCTGAACCTTACCCTGTTCCCAACGCCCACACCAGGGAAAAGAGGGCCCCCAGCACGATGCAGCTCGGGGATGGGTACATGATAACTTACCTCTACAATTTGGTGAAAAAGTATTAACACGTTCAGAGTTTTATTTTACTTGAGATTTTCCTCACTGAGCGGGCAGAGGGTGGCAGGGTGATTTTTCTTCGGGTGTCTTAGAGAAAACGGGCTTTGGGGCAGAAACTTGCTGTTATTTCCAAAGACCTTGGTGATAACAGTCAGCACGGTGAACACGTTTTTGTTTTTGTGTTATTTTCAGTTCTTGCACCTAGGTGGTAGTTGTAATGACAAGTACAGGATCCGGCAGAAGGAAGGCCTGCTTGAGTGTGGTTGGTAGGGTAATAATGTGAGTGTAGTAATTTATAGTTTTAATGTGACCATTTCACCTAAAATGTCATATGGTGTGCTTGAGTGTAAAATATTATGTTACAGAATTGCATGCTTATGATTTTGTAATAATAGATAGTGTAATAAAAATGGGGCATTATTTGTGCCGGACCCTGTACTTAAATAGCTATTTTTGATGTCATACTCTGACTTTTCCTTTCTCCTTACTTTTGTTATGCAGATATTTTAGGCAGACTCTTGCCATTAAATAAAATATTCCTTTCTTTTCCAACAAACTCTGTCTTTGGAGATTTGCCTGGTAGGCAATGAGCTGTAGGACCCCCCTTACTGGTTGGGTTCAGTAACAATTTGAAACCTTCCTGGAAAGAGTGTGTTGCTTTGAAGGCAGGTTCATGTAGAAATAATTCTAACAGATTAGTTTTAGAAGTTCCATTATGTAGTTCATATTATAACTAAGGGTATTTTATTTAAGGGTCCTCATAGCCTCAATTCATTCAGGATTCTGATTGTGCATAGTATTTTCAACATGTTGAAACTGTATTATGACAATTATAATTCATAAAATTCTCATGGGGAGGATGCCAAATGGTAGGAAAAAAAAAACAAACCCAAATCTTGAAAATGTGGTAAATTTATAAACATAAACAATGTCTTAGTTAAAGTAATACACTCAATATAACATAATGTAATTTCCAAATAAGTTTGGCTATGAAAAGAGTAAAAACATATTTTTTTTTTTTACAGAATTCCATTATGCTTAGCAAGCAGTTGGCCACTTTGGGACAGGAGCCAGTCTTATATACGTTTCTGAAGAGAAAAGTTTACTTTCCACAAAAGAAATTGGAAAATGGGTATTTAATTTTTAATTTTCAAATATAAAATTCGTCTTTAAAATTCAGTAAAAAAAAAAAAACTATCGAAAAACTAGCAAAAGAGATTTTAAAACCCTAGTAGAATTTCATGGAATATCTTATGTGTAATTTCCAAGTAGATTCTTTTATGCTCCAAAAGAACCACAAAAAAAAACCCAGTTGTGATGATTAGAACTAGTTACCAACCTAGAGAATGCTAGTCAGAACCCTGGACTGCAGTTTCACAGTTTGCATTAGTAGCTAAACCTCAATCCAAGAGCCTCCTCAGCGTGGTGGCAAATCATGGCAATGTGTTAAAATGTTTCTTGCTGATTCATAAAAATGAGACACATGGGTGGACTGATGTTACCGGTGCACAGGCGCATCCACACACATCACAAATCCTACCTAAGAAGTGGAGCCCGTTACTGTTATGTTAATAAGTTATCACGGGGCTTAGACAGCCTTCATTTACTGAGCACCTAGGCACTGGTCAAGATGCTTGTAACTAAAAGATACAATACATACTTCCAATATGAGGTTGAATGGGAGTGGTGAGAAAAGACATTTTGTCGTGTTCCTTGTTCTTAGAAGGAAAGGAGCTAGTTTCTCATCATTACGTTTTTTTTGTATAGATGCTTCATTATCAAGTTGAAGTTCCCCTCTGTTGCTAGTTTGCTGAGAGTTTTTATCATAAATGAATGTCAGATTTTGTCAAATGTTTTTTATGCCTTTATTTTTTTTAAAGATTTTATTTATTTATTTTTAGAGAGAGGGGAAGGGAGGGAGAAAGAGAGAGGGAGAAACATCAATGTGTGGTTGCCTCTCACATGCCTGCAACTAGAGACCTGGCCTGCAACCCGGGCACATGCCCTGATTGGGAATCAAACCCATGACCCTTTGGTTTTCAGGCTGACACTCAATTCACTGAGTCACACCAGCCAGGGCTTTTTATGCATTTATTGATATGATTACATGCTTTTTCTTCCTTAAGCTGTTGATGCAATGGGTTACATTAGTTGATTTTTAAATGTTGAACCATATGTGTGTAACTGGAGTAAGTCCCATTTGGTCACAGTGCATAATTATGTTTACACATTGTTGGATTCAAAAGGTCTGTAGCTTTATCTGTAACATGTTCATCTCATTTTGGCATTAGGATAATATTGGCCTCATAAAGTGAGTTAGGAAGTGTTCCTCCAACCTGATGTCTCCCGGGCCGGCCTGCAGAGAAACACTCCGCAGAACCTGCCCTAGCTTGAGATGTATGTCAGACGGCTTGTTTTAGCTAATTCCTCTGTGTGTCCACTTCGAAAGACCAGACACATGAGTGGATTGATGTTACCGGTGCACAGGCACCAGTTTTAGCCCTGTCAGATTTTAGCATGCCAAGAGAAAATGGGGAGATCCTAACATCTTATGGAAAGGCAACCCATTTAACTAAACAAGAGTCACTGTCTCATTCTCATTAGTCAACCTCAACACAAAGAGACTAGAGAACATGCCCTCAAAGCTCTGAAGTCTCCTCCTAGCCAAATACTCAAGAAAGCGTGTTAAAGACATTTTTGGATTTCAGGACCTCAAAAAATGTATGTTCACTTACCCTTTGGCAGAAAACTTACTGAAGAATGTGCTTTAGCAAAACAAGAAAGGTCCAGGTATTGGGTCCAGTACATGATGGCATCAACCCAGACAGTAATAAAAGGAAATCCCTGGAAGCAAGTACGACACTCCCTCCGCATTTGCCACATGGATAATATTATGGGTGCTATTTCAGTTCTCTATTGGAAAAATCAGAAAACTAAACACATTTTTAAATAAATAATTATTAACTCTAGGGAAAATATTGTAAATAAATATATTTAGAAAAGAAAACAATCATAGTACAATAATTGGCTCAGTAGTAAATGACATACACATTATTAATAACAATATAAACACTATAGACCTAGCTAAACATCATGACATTAATTTGAGAGAAAAGAAGATGTATTGGTAGGTATAAGCTATGAGATACATCTTCATCTGTCATATAAGAGGCCAACAGATAATGTATAAATATTACATAGTAAGAGAGCAGTATGGGAATATTTAAGGAGACTATGAAGACACATTGCAGAAGAAAGAGTATTATGAGTCAAGATTACTTCCATTTGGAAACAAGAGTGAAGAATGAGGAGAAATGGGTAGCATTTTAATACTGTTTGATTTATTTTACCCAGATTTGTTAATAAAAATTGTTTAAAAGTTTAAAAGGTGATAAATGCCAGCACTGTATGAGAGTCCATGGATAAGAGAAAAGAAATAGGCCGTTTTATTCTTATATTTTCTATTTTCCTCTTCTAAGGGCCTGGAGCATCTCCATACCAATGGCAGTGGATGATGCGCTGAAAGAGATTAAAGGAAACCAGGTGGCTTTTCAAGATTGTTTTGTTGCAAATTCTTTTTTCATGCTGACTTTTCCTTTGCTGACAATACCTGAGCACCCTAGCTTTTTACCCATTTCTTCACCACGTGGTAGTCAGCTGATGTCATCCTGGCAAGCCTGTGTTCCTTCTTTTGCTGTGGTGGTATCCGACATGGAGACCTTTCAAACCAATGATTCATTTCGTACTTGGACCAGAATCAGAGTGCCTCCAAACGCCCTCACGGACGACGAGAGACACAGTGTGTCTGCTGTGATCCTATCCCGCGATGGAATTTTTTTTTTAATAAATGGTGTCCTTTATGTAAAAAGTTTTACTGCATTTACAAGACTGGGAAGCAAAGAAAACCTTCCCGAAGGTGGAATTGTTGGCATTACATCAAGAAAATGGTGTTGGGTCAAATATTTATTGAAGGTTAGTAAAATATTACATATATGTATATCACACTTACACATTTTGATATACTTACCATACCTTTTAATTCAGCGATATATTACAGACTATACTATGCAGTTTCTTGGCAGTATTTTATTCATGGCTGTAAAGAGCTTGGCCAAAGGACCTCTGACAACATAGAATAAAATGAATGTTATATATTATTATGCAGAATCACTTAGTCATACTAGGGGAGTTTTGTTTTACCTTGATGTGGGCAAAAAGTCAAAAAAGTTACTTCCTCCAAACAAAAACTCCATCTGCTCTCAAAAATGAGTTAACTCTTTAATTTCTGACGATATAATGAATAAGATATCCTTAAGCTATAGCATTACCTAAAATGCTGCATAACAACTTTAAACCTTCTTTTAAGCTCATAGCTGGACTTATATGAAAGTAAGGAAAATTCTGAGAGGAAAGATGGAGTCCTGGAGCACTAATCCAGAAAGATAAAAGGCAAAGATTGTCCAATTGGACATTTTAAAAAAGACCAAGTTGTATGTTTTCCATAAGAAGCCTACTTTAAATAAATGGTATAGTTGGATTCAAAGTAATACATTGGAAAAGGATATACCGTAGAAGCACTTATTAAAAGAAACCAAGAGTAACTTTATTAGTCTCAGACAAGCTAGGAAAACAATCAGGGATATAGAAGGACATTATATAATGATAAAAAGGTCAATGCATCAAGAAGACATAACAATCCTAAATGCGTATGCACTTAAGGGAGCTTCAAATTAGAGCCTTGCTTTTTCTCCAGAGTAGCAATATCTGCCTTTAAATTGTAGCAATTAGTCCACATAGATTTAATGGACCTATTGCTATGGTTGGGTTTAAGTCTACCATCTTGACTTTGTCTCCTATTAATCCCAATTTTTTTTCCTTCCTTTCCCCTTTCCTGTCTTCTTCTCGATAAAATGTGTATTTTTCAGTGTTTCTATGTTGTCTCCTGTATTGACTTTTTAATTCAAAACAATTTTTAGTGGTTGCACTTGACTTTACAGTCATCATCTTTGACTTATCAGAGTCCAATTTCAAATACTATATATACTTCACAACAGTATAAGAACCTTGTAGCTGTACGATTCCATTTATACCCCATCCTTTGTACTCTTGCCTCATATTTAACTGCTAAATAAGCTATAAATCCCAAAACTATGTGACTAGTTCTGCTTTAAAAATCAAGTTTCATAAAGATGTATAAATATAAACTGATAGCAAAAGAAATCGTTTATGTGTTATCAACTCCCTGGTTATGCTTTATTTCTGTCTGCACGTCCGTAGTTCCTCCTGGTTCCATTTCTCTTCAGCCTGAAGTATGTCTTTAAATTTTCTTGTGTGGCAAGTTCTCTCAACATTCCTTGCATAAAAGTGTCTTTATTTTTGCCTGCATTTTTGAAGGACATTCACTGAATACAGAATTGTAGAATGACAGGTGGTTTTTGTTAGGGGGTTTTCTTGTTGCTGTTTTTAAAACAACATATAAAGACATCAGTCCATTATTTGCTGACCTCCATCATTTTTTGATAAGAAGTCAGCCACTATTCATATCATTATTCTCATATATATAATGTGTCTTTTTAACCAATAGCTGATTTTATTAGAACTTGCTCTCTATCTCTGGTTTTCAGCACTTTCATTATGTGACTAGGTGTGATTTCCTTTATACAGGTGAGGCAAAAGTAGGTTTACAGTTGTTCATATGGAAAATACAATAATTAATGAATACTAATATAAGAATAAGCTCTGTATTTTGCATACTCACAACTGTAAACTTCTTTTTGCCCCACCCTGTATTTATCTTGTTAAGGCTTAACTGAGCTTTTCCTCTCCTTCTAGGATTCCCAAAACACATACGTGAAACCATTTAATATTGTCCCATGGATCTCAGACCACCTGTTTATATTCTTTCACTCTGCTTTTCCCTTTCTACTTCAATGTATATACATGCTGTTAACTGTCTTCCAGATCACTGCTCCTTTCCTCTGCTTTTCCCAGTTTACTCTTAAATTTATCTAAGAAGGTCTTTATTCCCAATATCACTTTTTTTTTTTATTTCTAGCATTTCCATGTTCCTCTTTCCCATCATGTACATGTCTCAGCGGATCCCCATCTCTGCACTCACATTGCCTGTCATCCCCAATAGATCCCTTGGCATTTTTATCATAGTTATTTTCCCTTTAGCCATGCATGAGATCTTAGCACTGACAAGATTCCAGAGATTCTCCATGCTTTGCAGCCGAGCCACAAGCATCCCAGACTGCGAGAGAGCCGTCTCTGCTTTACGGCCTGGCTGTCAGCCTTTTCCCTGCTGAGCAACTCTCTGTTTTCGCTCATCTGCCCTTGGATTTTTGTGCCTTGGCAGATCTGTCTCTCTTTCTCTCTTGCTTCCCTGTCTCCAGTCTAGGAAGGGAGACTGCTTTGCACTTTGGGTAAATGCCACAAACGTCTCAAAGGGAGGTTGCTCTCAGCTCTCTTAGCCCACTCCCAGCCTGTGAGACCTAAGAATCCAGGTGCAGGTGGGTTTCTCTCCGCTCTGCTGCCTGGTCACCTGGCCACCCCCACCGTCTTCAGAGGCTCACATGCCACGTTTGCGAGAGGCCCCGAATGCTTCCGGGGGATCTCCCAGCTCCCCTGCCTTGCCCCAAGAACTTTGGTTTACTACACCCAAGCACTAAGTAAAGACCTATGGGAAAGGGTGTTTCAGTGAGTGAAAACATCGCGCACCTAGGGCTCCCTGGAATTCCCGTCTGTCCCATTTACAGCACGTTCCTCTTCGCATCCCCCTGCCAAGAGTGAGAATAGCTGTATCTTTTCTGTGAAGAGCTCATCATTTGTTGCCCGTTTCCTTTTTGAGGGTTGTTTCATACTCTGTTCCAGCAACATAAGCTCTAGACTTGAGGTGGAATCTTCATTTGATAAAAATACTTTTTATACTCAATAGTCTCTTTCTTTGGTTACCAGTGTGGTATCTGTCTATTTGAGTACAGACTAATATTTGCAAATTAATTAAAACAAGGGAGACAAGACGTGCCCAAAAGACTTCTTCTGGTGGTCATAGACATAGAAGTTACATTTTAAATAAAAATCTCTAATAATTAGAAACAGCTGGAGAAGAGGGGATGTGACTCTCTAAATGAAATTAGGCCCATAACTGAACTTCAGACATAGGCCTCTCTGAATGGCCTTTTTTTCTAACAGCCTATATCCAGAAAAGGGTACTGTTGATTTGTTTAAAGTTTGAAGTGTTCTTTTCTCTTTATCTGATAACCAATGAAGCTAGAATTCCAAAAATAATTTAATGTTTGAAGTGTCCTTATAGCTTGACCTTAGTAAACATCAAGTTCAAAGGGGTATTCCTGGCCCGAGTAAATAAATACGTAAGAAAAGAGAAGATTGATGCTCTTTGAATATGTAAAAGAGAATTAAGATTAATTATTTCTAGTGATAAAACAATATATAAAAGAATAAAATTTTGGAGTAACTTATTTTTATGGTTATATGTAATATGACATACTTCTATGTCATGTATTTCTGTATTTGAAGTATTTTTCAGGCATCGAGTGAAAATAAGACCTTACCGGTGACTATATTTTACTTTTAAACACAGCAAGTTACAAGGCAGGCATCGATAGGACTACCCCTCAAATTGAAGATTTTCTAATTATTTTCAATTTTGTCACAGGCTAGTGAAAGAAGAAGCAGCATGGCAGTCTGGACAAGAAATGAAGTTTATCTTGGATATACTTCTCTTACATTTGTCAAAATAATAACCACTAAAAAACTGGGGGAAATCCTAGCTATATCCCCAGGTGCTACTCTGACTATACATAATGTGGAGTACACAGGACATCCTTTGGAACTTGGCTTGTTATTAAATTACTGCATTACATGTACTGTCACTAAAAAGATTCATCTAGTGTTATATAATGAAGACATAAAAGAGTGGGTGCTCCAAGACTTTGAGTTAAATGTCATGATTGACAGTTCTATAATTCTGCGTTTTCTACATTCAGCAATGCCAGAATTAATACTATGGGACAAGCATAGGATCTACTATTCTTACTACAATATCATTAATGCTGGAGTTTTACAAACACCTACAAAATTTGGAAATCTATCGGAATTATCACACAACAGTATTATTCACGATGTTTTTATAGGTGAGGCATTCTCGCTTTGCAAAAAGTATTCGACTTCATAACAGGCATCTTTCTTTATGAAGCTGCAGCAATTTTAAATGCACTAAGAGATGGCGCTTTTGATAGGAAAAGGTGCACTTTGTGCCACCTAAAAATGGACTCTACTAACATTAACTATGATCTTCCATAGAAAAATGGCCAACTCAAGTTCTTTTTGTCACAGGTTCATTTTGGTCAATCAGCAGATACTAACTAAGCAAATCACGTATGCGTTTTTAGTGTAGGAGGTTATGTGGTGTTATATTAACCTCCTAGGGTTCCCATAAGAAAGTACCCAACCTGGGTGGTTTAATATAGCAGAAGTGTATGGTCCCAGAGAAGACTGCATTCAAGGTATTGGCAGAGCCATGCTCCCTCTGAAACCTGAAGAGGAATCTTTCCTTCCCCTTCCTAGCTTCTGGTAGCTTCTGGTGGCTTCTGGCAAACCTTGCCATTCCTTAGCTTCAGCCACATTGTTCCAAACTCTGCCTTTGTCACCACATAGCATTCTCCCTGTGTCTCCGTGTGCCATCTTGTTATCAGGACAACAGGGCCCACCCAGTATGAACTAATCACTTCTGTAATGACCCTATTTCCAACAAAAAGGTCCCATTCTGAGGTAGTACCAAGAGTTAGAATTTTAACATTTCTTTTTTCGAGGAAACACAGTTCAACCCATAACAGGTATTGTACAGTTAAACAGAGCTGTATTTAATCCATGAACAGGTCATTTAAATTTCCCAAGCCTCAGTTTTCTGATCTAGAATATAAGAGAGCTATTACAATTAAATAAGGGATTGTATACAAAATGCATAGGATAATACTTGGCAGGTGGTAAGCCTTCAAGGAATTGAGCGAGGATACCGTGTTTTATTGCACCTTTCTTTATAAGCATCACAATATTTTGTGTTTTAAAAATTGAAGGTAAGGACCCTCCCACCAGCAAAAAGCCAGAATTTGCTGAAGGTTCAGATGATAGATAGCATTTTTTAGCAATAAAGCATTTTTGAATTAAAGTATGTAAGTTTTTAGACATGATGCTATTGCATACCTGATAAACTACAGTAGAGTGTAAACATGACTTTTTTCTATTATACTTGACACACGATATTATATTAGTCTGAGGGATACAACATGGTGATGAACGCTTGTACCTGACAAAGTAATCATCACAGTAAGTGCAGTCCCCGCCTGGTACCATACATAGTTAGTACAATATTATTGACTCTGTTTCTTAGGCTATATTTTACATCCCCATGACTACTATATAAAATCTGCAAACAATATATTTTTGTGAGGTTTTACACTTGATGTATCATCATCCTGTGTATCCTGCAACTTTTTCATTCAACAGAAATATATTTTATGTTACCACCCACATCTTTCTCACCTTCCACCGTGTGAAATTTCTAGAAACACACACAAAGCACAGCAGGCCCAGAATGTGGTAAGCCTGGGTGGATTTATTGCCCAAAGTAAACAACACAGAATTAAATGTGTAAAGTTATATGAGAAAAATTCCCTGGTCACTGTAGGGTCCCCATAATGTTGGCACCACCCTAACCCAAACCCCAACCCCAACCCTAACCTTAACCCTAACCGCACACACAGCGACAGAACCAGGAAAGCACCTGTGTCGCTGGCTTGGCATTAAGAATATCTGACCTTACAGCTTCATTAGGATGCTCTGAAAGATACTCCAGGCTTCATATTAACCTCGCCTATCAGCATTACGATTTCAGGAATGTTATTATATTGTCAAATCCCTACTGATAATGTTATAATGATGTGGGAGCTTCACTTTATAAGGAGATGTATGTGGAATAAAGTATTCTGATCCTAAAAAAATGGCATTTCTGATTTAGGAGTTTAGTTAGAATATAGTTTATGGTGGTTTGCGAAGAGGTCGCTTATTCATGCAGATTCTAAATGTCAGATGCAGAAGCACAATAATATTCTCTAAACCTTCCAACCCTGAATCCACTTTCTCCTTTCAGCCAGCCCTCCCTAAGTGTTGCTTTATGGAAATTAAAGAAAGGATACCCCTAGAAGTGGTCCACAGAGAGTGCTGAATCTGAACAGAAAGCCATGAAATCAGTTAACTATTCATTTACAGATACAACTATAGAACCAAAGAGATTAAGAGACTTATCATCTATGAACCTTTATGACTTAAATATAAAACTTCATTAAGGGAAGAAAATGTATTATTATTTACAGGATCAACCTGAAGAGGTACCAACCTCACCCCATTTCTTCATCCCGATTGTGTTCTTCTGCTAGGCCTGCCATAACAAAAACACCACAGCCACAGGAATGTATTTTCTCATGACTCTGGAGGCTAGACGTCCTCCAAGATCAAGGTGTCACCAAGGCTGGTTTCTGATGAGGACTTTTTCCTGACTTGGAGATGGCAGCTACCTTCCCCTTTCCTATATGGCCCTTCCTCTGTGTGCACGCCGCGGAAGACGGGGCGGGGAGGGGAGCGCGGGAGAGAGAGCTGGTGCCTTTTCCTCCTCTTACGAGGACAGCAGATATATGGGATTATGACCTCATTTAATCTAAATTACCTCCTTAAACACTATCTCCAAATGCAGTTACAATAGGACTTAGGACTAGAACATGCGCATTGGCCGTTGCGAGGCAGGGGGCAGGCGGGACAGGACACATTTGAGTCCATAACACAGTTCTTCCTAATGATGCCATTCCTGCGGTGCTCCTTCTTATTTTTATTTAATACACTAATTCAAGCTTTTTTTTCTCTCTCTCTCTCTAAATGATATGACATATAAGCGATAGAATGAATGCTAGGGTAAAGGTGTCCAGGGGGTAAAACTGCTTTCCTGTGAAATGGAAGAGAAGTCATCCCACGCTGTGTAAGGCTGCAGGTTTGTGCCTGCTCACGCTGATTTTCTCCAAGTACATTAATAGTCAATATAAAAGAAATTATTTTGGTTAAAAGTCGACCTATATCAAATAGCATGGCTGTATGGTTCCTTAGAATAATTCAAACTTCTCTCTCTTTTTTCCAGATTATTATGGAAATATTGTGGTAAAGATGGAAAATAATATGATGTTTTTTTTCAAGATTAATATTAGAGATGCAGTAAAGCTACACGTATGGGCAAATAACACAACAAAATCGTTAATTTTCTTGAATACATCTGGTGGAACATACCTCGTGTATGTTTTTAAAAATGGCACAATATTCCCACAGGAATATCCCTTAAACCTGGAAGCACAAAGTATAGCTTTGAAAACAAAAGAAAAATGCCCTTTTGTAGCATTTCATAGTAATATTCTTCATATTTTTTACATTTTGGACAAGGGACAGAACCTGACAGTGTGGGCACAAATAGTGTACCCGGAAAATATCGGTCTGCACATTATCGTGGAGTCCTATGGCCCAAAAATATTACAAAAGAAAGAACAGGTTCACTATGAAACTGCCTTAAGATATTGTACTAAAACCACGGTGAGTTAATATTTTAAAATTTTAATTTGATTTTAATACATGTAAAAGTATAATGTTAATACTTTTTAAAAGGATTTTTCCTTCTAAGTTTAGCTTGGAAAACATTGAGAAATAGACATGTTTTTAATAAATAATACAATAATATGATAAGCCATTAATTCCCGAGCCACAAATTTCACTTTCAGTATCTAAGGTCTCTTTGCCACTTAAAATACATTCCTGCAGAAGTATCTGTCAGTTGTATTGTTTGCTTCCTTTTTCTTTTTTTCGTACCTGGTTTTTCTCTAGAGCTCTTTTCTGCTGTCTATTGGAGCGTAATACTACTCCAAAACCCAAGGACTGCAACCAACCAACTCTATGCGTCAGCAGTTTGAGTTGTGAGCATCCGGGCATTTCAGCTTATTTCATCTGGGTTCATTCATGACACTGTGGTCACCCGGTGGCTTGTCTGGGATAGGACGGTCCAAGACGGCCTCATTCACAAGTCGAGTGGTTAGCACAAGCACGGGCTTGTTAGTATAAGGCGCTCCAGCCGGAGCCCTCCGCTCTGCCCCACGTGGCTTCTGTGCCGCACGCTAGGCTGGCTTCTTGGCACAGCAGTCTCAGGGCAGCGCTCCAGGACGATGAGCGGAGCAGTGACAAGGCCTCTTGAATCCCTGGTCTGGCCCCATTCTGTTCACCAAAGGAATTCACAAAGTCTGCCCTGATTAATACGATGGGGAAACAGACTCCGCCTGTTAACAAGAGAACAGCGAGAGTGTACTGTAGCTCTCATTGGGGGGCTCAGTTGGTTGGGCGTCATCCCACAAAGGGAAAGGTCTCAAGTTCGATTACCAGTCAGGCCACATACCTGGGTGGCAGTTCGGTCCCGGTCGGGGTGCATACAGGAGGCAGCCAATCAATGTGTCTAACTCATATCAATGTTTCTCTCCCTCTCTTTCTCCTCCCTTCCTCTCTAAAAATTAATAAATAAAATCTTTTAAAGAGTAAATATACTGTAAAGGACATGCATACATGAGTAGAGGAATTGTTGCAGCCACCTCTGCAAACATTCTATCACAATTGGTATAAATATCCTGGATACATTGTCTTGTATACTACTTTTCCAATCAATATTATAGCACAAGCATTGTACATGCTACTTTGATGTCTTCTCAAATATTGTATATTCTATTCCCTACTTCCTCTTCTAGGCTCAGCTCCCTCAAGCCTCCACAGTACAGTGGAATAGAAGTGTTCAGTGAACTCCAAAGCCAGTTATAGCAGAAAATCATTTAAAAACATATATATATGAAACTGATATATGTGAAGCATTTTACTTAAACATAAAAAAAATACATATTCATTAGTCAATCTTTTAACATAGGACCACAGACCTTTCTTTGAAATAAGTCCAGTTATTGGAGTTCTTTACAGACAATATGATATCTGTAATCATTTAAAACCCTCAAAGAAGAAATAAACAGGTCCAGAGAAAAGGTTATTAGAAAACAGAAGCGAAAAATCTGTTATGCTCAAGATATAAGTGAAAAATAAAGATAAGAATATTGTAATTACAAAAGTCAAATGAGAAGGGAGAGAGAAGCAATAGGAAAAAAAGAACTCTGATATAAAATTAAAAGGAAAATGTAACAGTAAATCTAATATGTACAGAATTGGAATTTCTGAAATAAAAAAGAAAGTAAATTGAAAAAAATGCTAAATATATTCTTTTTCTTACCTAAGAAAGATTTAAATCTGTCTTGAAAGTATCCATTGTCCTCATTCCCAATTTTCCTGTTTTGCATAAACTTTTTTATTTTCTTTTTCAGACCATAACGTTTTTTCAGAATGTGAATTATGAGGCAGTAGATGATTACTTCGAGTTGCAGTTAAGTATTGACTTTTAAAAGAACCTACTCATGTAAAATATGCTATCCAGGTTTTTGATTTGTAACTATTCTTTTATTTAAATGGCCTCATATCCTTTTAAATATCCAGATTTGGAATTCCTTGAAGTGTCTGGATAGATGTGAAATTAGTCTTGTGTATAGAAATGTAGGGTATTCCTTGTGATTAAATGGAAACATGGCCTATGGGAAGGTTCTCACTCACCCAATTGAAGATGCAAAAAACAACAACAAAAAACCCAGAGGGCTATTTCTGGATTCAATAACTTTTGAACATCTTTTATGATTCATTCCCATCCCAAAGTCTTTACATCCTCTCCTTAAGCAAAAACTAAACTCTAACACGCCCAAAAGTCTTCAGCGACGACTAGAATCAGGTACAATACCACCTTTGACTCTTGGAATAAGGCAGACAACCAACCTGGCACTGGGTCTCGAGGCATTTCTGTGGTTATCACTGTGTGATTCAATATATTTCCAGGAAAAATAGCACTGTTTTTCAAGCCAAAGTCCATTTTTCTCTAGTCGGCTGCTACGCCGAGTGAGTGGAGTCCCCACTGGATGCCAAGCACATTCTAGGTGCTCAAACTACCCGGTAAAGCAAGGAGCGTGAAAAGCACGGTGCGGCAAGCGCTCCAGTCGATAAACAAGACGATGCCGGAGAGGTCCGAGCGCCAGCGAGAAAGCGCAGCCGCGAAGCGGGGTAGCGGGGAGGACACGCGACGCCGGCCACACTCGCCGGCCCTTCCCCCTCGCCCGCCGCCGTGTCTCATTCTCAGGCTGTGGTTGAGAACGTTTGCGTGTGTTAGTGGATGTTTACTCGGGATTCTGTTGCTGTAGAATACATATCAAATTGTCCAGGATACTTCAGGTCAGTCTGATGCTTTAGAAAAAAATACCCAAAGTTGTGAAATCAGCCACGGTAGGAAAAAAAAAAAAAAAAAGTGCCTATCAGGAAACCTGTGTAGAAAATTGAAGATGAAATGTTTACTTTTGTGTCCTTTAGAGGTTCATACTATATTACTGAACTTATCATATCGAAAATGCCATCAAATTGAAAAAAGCCACAATTGGCATATAGTTCATTATAAGATGCTTCCTAATTTCAAAGCTGTTTAAATGAGGAAAAAAATATGTATTTTAGAATTAATGAAATATATGGCACAGTGATTTAAAAATATGAAAATGAGCTATTTGTACCCTGATTTAGTATATTTTATATCAAATACATAACTAAGTAAATATTAAAACGTAATAAATATTGGAAGAAAAAGGGCATTTGTTCGTGGTTAGCTTGTTCGCATTTGTTTTTCCCCCAGGCTTTCCCTTAGCAGTGAGTGGAGAGGTTTTGAAGAAAGCTTTCTCAGTCTCCTCTGTGATTTTTTACTTGTTTTGCCTGAGTACAAAATGACTTGGGTGCGTTCGTGCGCTAGGAGGGCCTTGTATCTGATCTGCCTTTTGATGCCAGTCAGATCATAGTACGCAGCATAGTGGGGTTCAGAAAACTCCTCTCGTGACTTCCTCGCTGTCGCTCTGAAGGTGGTGATCCATGGGAGGGGAAATCTGGAGACGTGGGAGAAGAAACCCCCGCAGTGGCTTCTGGCTGCGGCAGGACAGGGGTCCGCCCCCGGCGGACCTCCGCCCTCCGGGTCCAGCGGGAGTTAGTGGCACAGGGGTTTGAAGTGCTGGTAGACGCTCTCTTCTATTTCCCATTGTGTCGACCCCACACTGGTCAAAATAGGGGATACGATGAGGTGGCAATGGCTTTCGGGTCTGACCCCAGGCACAGCTGCCTTAGCAGAACCCGGCGCAGCGGCCAGCACGCCCTCCGGACGCTCGCACGCCTCGCGAGGGGTTCGGCCACCTCGGGTACGTGGGCCGTTTCCGCCGCTCTACAGAAAGGCGGGGTCACGTCTACCACCCGTGTGACTCTCTAATTCTGCATGTATTCTTTCTCCTAGATACCGGAAAACGGGGCTTCTGCTTGTTCAGGTTAGGCCTAGTGAATATGCAAAAACATGTCCAATATCCCCAAAGGTAAGTGTACTTAATGCATAAACACAAGTTTCCAGGTATGAAAGTCGCCATGGGGATGTAAAGTATGGCAACTTACTACAATAATGCATAGGCACAAATTTCTAGTTGTAGTTGCGGGGATGTAAAGTACAACATAAGGAATATAGTCAATAATGTTGTAATAGCTATGCGTGGTGTCAGACGGGCTCTAGATTTATTGGAGGGATCCTTCGTGAGGCATATAAATGTCTAAACACGATGTTGTGCACCTGAAACTAATATAGTATTGTATGTGAACTGTAATTGGAAAATAAATTTTAAAAAAAGAATGCATAGGTAGTAAGCTCAGTAATACATATAACCTCCATATAATACCACTCCATTAATACTGAGCAATGTTTCGTAATGTTTCATAATGTTTCACTGTTGAAATAGCCTTAGTTTACTTGGGAAACAAACAAACAAAAAAAAAATCAGACTTCTGTCTTCCGTGAGTTTACCATCTAGAGGGAGATGTATAAACATATGTAAAAAAAAATGTAAAGGCATTCATTTTTGAAAATAAAGCTGTGTAAAGGAAAACTGAAATTAATGGAGACAAATCAAGCAGGATACAGTTTGTCAGAGAAGGCTGCCGTCCTGCATTAGTTTATTCAAAAATTTAACCATGTCTTTACTCAAAAGAATTTATCGTGCGCCTCCTATGTGCCTAGGTTTCCATCTGCGCGCTGGGGCATGAATTACGAAGGTGAAAACACAGTACCTTCCCAGGGGAGAGCATAAGCTAGCGCAGCTGAACGTGGGGCACAGTTAGCCCCAATGAAAGAGTGAGCGCTTTTGATTGAGAGGAGAAAGGTGCAAAGAAGACGATGCATAAAATGACTGTTGCAGAATGAGGAGGGGCTGAGCAGGCAGAGGGCAGCGAACTCCAGGGAGAGGCAGATGCTAAGCACAGCAGCGGGGCTTAGCCACAGGCGCTGCACCATTCATGCAACGAAGACATCCTTCCCACCACCCGCTCCTTGCGATCTGTCCCACACTGAGGGAGGCCTCCTCTCTTCACTCCTTCTCAGCCCAGCTAACGATCCGTAACGTATATTGAGCACCTACGATGTGCCAGGCGTGACACAACAAGGAATGCCGACGCGAAGAACGCAAAGCTCAATGAGGCGTAGTCCCTGTCCTTCAAGACCCCGTACAAGGAAATGGTTCCTACCAGGCAGCGGGTGCATGAGCTCAGAGGGGCCCTGGACAGGGGCACACATGGTCTGTCCATGAGCACGGTGCACAGACACTGCCTCCTCGGGAGCTTGCCTGTGGGTCCATACCAACCCTCCCTGTCGGCCCGCCGCGCTACCTACCCAGCTTAGCCTGCAGAGGAGGAAGCAGGAAATAGCAACCTCCTGAGTTCCTGCCCCGGCCTAGGTCTGTGTGTGCTCGGTCTCCAGCCCCACCCTAGTCCAGACAAGACACCTTCCTGAAGCCCCCCCCGGGTTCCTCCATCCCTCTCCTTGTCTAATCAATAGATGCCTTAGGGAGGGATCCCCATTCACTGTGCCCTGCCCAGCCCAGGCATTACAAAGCGGGTTCATCTCACCCGAGTTCTAAGTTCTACCCCCTACTGGCTTGGGCTCAGCGGCCTCATTTGTAAAAAGGGAAATGGAACAGCTATCTCACAGTGCTTATCCGCTCTGCAGAGAGTATTAAATGAGATACTTTATGTAAAGCGCCCAGAACCGTGCCTACTGCAGAGTAACATTCTAATATGACTTTCCTCCTTGGGACGCCCTGAGACATGGACAGGTCAAACCAAGCTGCCCCCTGCACCCGAGGTAATTTGTGTGGAGCCGCCCCCTGACACAGAATGAAGAAATATGCAGTAGCCCATCAAGCAACAGGAAACTGGGGCCTTGTATAGGCAGATCCTCCAGCTAGCCAAGAAAATCAAAATCTGTGCACAACGAAAAGGGATGCCCTCAACCACAGACCCTTCTTTGCGGTCCTGTACTGACCAGTGAGCAGGTCATCAGCCTCACAGATGAACACACAGAGACACAGGGCCCAGCTCTGTATGCACATGGAACCGCGGCCCGCAGACTTCTCTCCCTGGATCATGTGAGGCCCTGGCTGAATCTGCTGGACCGGGCAGACCGTGGGCTGAGCCATGGGAACAGCAGCCTGCTCTCTTGCCACTTAGTGTTCACATCCGGCAGCAGAGCAGCAAACAGAGCTGGCAGCTCCCACAGGGCCCCGTCTGCCTTTAACCACGCACCAAGATCCGGGATGCAGGGAGGCTGCCTGAGTAAATCGGCCCCCGAGGGCCCCCAGAACCCCTCCCAGGTTGAATGTCCCCAGGGAGAGAGGACTACACTCTGCCTAATGCATTGTCTACCATCATTTCTGCATGGAGGGCCCTTGGAATTCCCGTCTCGGTTCAGGTCTTCTGTCCAGTTCCAGGGAATACGCAGTCTGGGCCTGAGCCGCCCTGCCCTGGGTCTGCACCTAAGAGAATGACATTAGATAAGACCGGCGCACTCCCTGTTTTCACGGAGGCTGTCAGGACCCCTCTAATTAGCTGTCCAGCCCTGGGGACACACGCCAGCCCTGCAGCGGCGCTTACTTGTGCTGTCCACGCTCTGTGCCCACGCTTACGTTCAAGATCCACCTGCAGGTCACCTCCTAGTCATGGATGTGTAAACGAGGCCCCAAGAGAAACTTGATGCTACACATAAGACCATTGAGCGATGGTGGGTGCCAACTAGGAAAGATTGGAGGACTTCAGTGAGCCCTGTGCGCCACGTGGATAAATTTGTAATGGCAAACAGCAGGCCTGTGCTTGTGGAATGCATTTGGTAGGAAAATAAAGACAATGATGAAGGACAGCAAGGACTGCGGGTACAGCTGTGGAGCGAGCAAAACGGGTCCTATAGGTGAGGTCAGGTGGTTCAGAAAATAAAATCCATGAGCTCTTGCTGTCGTGCATGCCTTTCAAGTGAAGCCCAAAGGTCTTGGTTTAGCAGTACAGGTATCTGAACCCACCAAGCTTGACCCTCATAATCCCCAAGCCATTCTTCAGCGTAGGAAGTATCAGGCGTTTTTCAGATTTGCCTTGTGCAAATATGCAGCACAGAGGACATGTTTAAGACAGCATGCAAGTGTCTAGATTGGCTTACAAAGTCTGGGGGGTTGGGGCGGGGTCAGGAGAGACAGCAGGGAGGCGGGTGTCCGCGGCCAGGTAGAAATACATAGAAGTAGTCTTCCCAGTCAAGGAAGAACCAGGATTCTGGTTAAAAAGAAATCACGGTAAGAACTAGACATATCGTAGACTCCTGCCCGCTGAGTCAGGCTCAAACCAGAAGCACAGAGTTGATCGCCATGGTTGTAGAGGTGCTGGTGAGAGAGGAGACCAAGTCAGCTCTCTGAGATACTGACAGAAGAAAGCAGAGAACTAACCTTTGGGCCTCATGAGCGGTAAGTAAGAAATGAAACAAAGAAAGAGAAAAAAGTGATCAAAGAAGTAGGAAAACAGCACATTGAAAAGGTTATTAATGCGCTTCTATAAAACATAATTGCTTTTTGCTACAGAAATATTTTAGACCGTGTGCATCAGAACCACTGAACTCACCATCTAACGCGCTTCATTGTAGGTGTTCCAAATAGCTGTTGGCTGTGATCCTAGTAAATACATTGCTGTTAAAGGGCAAGTATATTTGCATCTGACCTGTCTTACTCTTTTAGCTTCAAAACAAATGGGAAACGAAATGGTAATTATTAGTGATAAATTTAGCCTAATGACTGACATGTTCACAATGAAATCCAAAATTAAATTGACAATTTGTCCAAACCAAATTTGTTCAAACTTTTTGCTGAGTCAAATGTCACATTTGATCATTACGGAAAGGGAAAAAGAATTAACTTCTTTCCCTATCACCAGCATTTTTCTCCACCTCCCTCTTTAATAAGCCAGTTCCCATCTTTCGCCTTTAACTCTCTCAGCTCTGCAGTCTACAGCTCATTCCTGGGGGAATGAGAGGGAGAAACACCTACCTCTGTTTTCCATCCTACTCCACCCAGTAATGATTTCACTTCCATCAGAGAATTGCTTACATCCACATCAAAGACGTCTTGGTTTACTGCGCCATTTTTTATGGGAAATTTTGAAGAGCAAACCTAACAGAAGCACCGATGTTCCCACCAGAGGTGTGCCTTTCATTGACCTGACTGTGGTTCGCAGTGATGCATGCTGGGATTTGCGTTATCTGCTTGCCACAGCTCTCTTTCTTCTACATGGGAAAGTCAAGGTCAACATACAGAGTCCGTTTAACTGAGGTTAAATGTATAATGGAGAGAGCAATGTATTGCGATTCCTTTCCTGTGGTTAGAAGTGGGGGTGAGTCTCTTTTTGAAATGATTTGCTCTCATCCAGAACAAATGTCTGCTAAATGTCTGTCATCCTAATAATCTTTTGAGGACTGAGTTGCCGTGATCAGTTGCTGGATTGATCCTTAAGTATTCTCATCTCATTCAGCAAGGAATTTGCATTTTTTGGAAAGCCTTTTTCAGGAACCACAAAGGCTAATTGATTTATACAGCCTATAGTATCCTATTTCTGGGATGGCCTACATACATCCTTGCTCATGAGAGTACAGCCTATGAACCAGGCATCACCTGGGAATTTAATAGAAATGCAGAATTCCACTTCTGCTGAGTCAGAATCTCTATTTTTTAAAAATGTCCAGAAGATTAGTAGGGCCATTAACATTTGAGAATAGCTGCACTAAACAAGTTACCAAAATCAATTCCCAGTATGCAGTCTTCCTGCTTCAGTGAAACGCAAAGCAGCCTGAATCAACTACTTGTGGGAGGGTCTAGATAACAATCGTCAAGCTTCACTACTCTTCGGAATCGCAGGGAGAGCATGTTTACAAAACACAGATTTCAGGAATAAGATCCAGGCCTCTCAGTCAATGACCCATTGCTCTGGAACCCAACAAACAACTCTAACACCTTGGATTTGGGTTGTAGTTGTGGAGGAGCCTAAGGTTTCATAGTTACCAAAGGAGACACGTGGGACTCAAGGTATTGTACTTTTTTTTTTAATGTAAAGAATGTGATACTATCTTTATTGATCAACTACCATATTTTGCTGTGTATAATGCGCGCACACGTTTTTGTGCGCATTATACATGGGACTTTTTTTAAGTATGTTTTATTGATTATGCTATTACAGATTGTTCCATTTTTTTCTCCCCTATATCCTCCTCTACCCTGCACCCCCCTCCCTCCAGTATTCCACCCGTCCCAGCTCAGGTCCATGGGTTGTACATATAAGTTCTTTGGCTTCGCCATTTCCTATACTATTCTTAACCTCCCCCTGTCTCTTTTATACCTACCAATTATGCTTCTTATTCCCTGTTCTGATGGGAGACTTGTCAATGAAGGAGAGCATCTCTTGGGGTCTAATTTGGGTTTGGGGTTAGGAGATGGTCCAGACTCCTGATATCTATCTAAACACAGCGGTGATTAAGGTTCCTTATAAGGTACAACCAACAAAAATGGTCAAATGAATCATTTAACTTACTAAAAATACTATTATTACATACACTATGATATCCTTATCTCTGCATGAACCCAAGCTAGAAATTATGTGTAATCTTTAAAGCAGTTCCTTACCTGCGCAACTGAGTCTCTAGTAGAAATTAGAAATCTGTGGTTTAAAAAAATGTGTGAGGAATAAAACCATCCACAGAAATTTGTCTTCATTTTGATAGGTTTTCTATCAGTTTTTCACATGTATCAAATATAAGAAGGAAATCAGTAGATTTCAAATTCTAGTGTCTTCAGAAATATTTGTAAAACTGATTTGTAAAAAGAGAAATGCTAGTGCAACACACCAACCCCACAGATTATAGCTCAGTAAGTGATGATCCTGTGATACTCTCAAGTTTGAGAATTAGTTAAGTGAGTCAATGTTTGTGCAAGTATTTAAGAAATGATGATATTACAACTTCATTATGTTTTATTTTTATAGATTTAATAACAAAAGATGTACTCAGCATGATTTGTACTACACTATTGAAAAGTAAGAAATATTTTAACATAAGCACTGAGTTTTTATTAATGTACTACCAATAATTTAGAGTCAGTATTCCTATTAGCATCAATCTTTTATAATATATGCATTCATTGCTTATAGGCACTGCTTTTACTGCATGTAACACATTTTGAAAAGTTGGATCTTCATTTTCATTTGGTTTGAAATATTTTTAAATTTCTTTTAAGATTTCTTCTTTTACCCATGTGTTACTTAGAAGTGTGTTGTTTAACGCCCACATATTTTGGGAGTATTTTGTAATTATGGTTATCTATTTGACTTCTGTGATACCTTCCTACCCAAACAAAGTAATGGTTTTAATGTTTAAGTTTGAAAAGAAGAAAAGATAGGTAATGAAAAATGTCTTTTTTACAGGTCATACCTGAGGGATCGACCACTTAAAAACTTGGTAAGAAAACTATAATTGTATCAATCGGCCTAATATAGAAAATAACCAAAACATTTGGTCTTTTCTAGAAAGTAAAATATAATTGGAAAAAATACGGCTGCCCACGGAGGCTTGATTTCAGAGAAAAGTTTCACCCTTTGATTCAGTTGTAAGTATACCCCCACTAAAACCTGAACTTACTTTGCAAGGTTCAAAATAAAAGATGACAAGAAGGCTACTTAATCATGCACTTAATAATAAATATTTTGGAGCACCCAGTATATGTGACACCAGGTTTTCAGTACAGGTTAACCAAGGGACAACTCATGGTCCCTGCATGTGAGGGAGGTGACAATTTAGCAGCTGACACCTAAGTGGGTCAGGAAGCTGAGCTTCTTCTAGAGGATGTAGGCAGAGCCCCTGAACCCTCCTCGCTTTACCCTCTCTACTTCGCCCCCCAAGCTCTGCTGGTGCCCCCATCACACTGACGGTACTTCGATAGGAACTACTTTTCCCAGGTGACCTGTGACTCCTTTCCATGGGCCAGTAATAATTGAAAGCAAGGCAAGGAACCATGTGTACTAATAAGGGACCGGGGAGATTTCAAGAATGTTATCTCTAACTTTTAATTCTTATAAACAATATTTCATAATAAAAATATGAATAAACATGCTCTAAGGAAGGCTTTTCCAAGTAATTCTGTATTCATTTGCTTGCTTTTCTGACTTTATTTTTGATTTTTAACTATAGAAGTTCCACACCTTGCCACAAATTTTAAAATATAAGAAAAGAGGTAAATGACCTGTATTTCTAAATTTTTTTTTTTTTTGCTATTATAAATAAAATTGTGGTGAATATCCATTTACGGACCCGTTTGGACACTAGTCCAGATATGCTATTAGGATCAATTACTGGAAGTGAAATTCCTAGGCGTAAAACATCAGAACTTTACGCTAGCGCTCAGTGTTCTGGGCCCCCTTAGGTTCCTGAGCTCCCACAGTGTGGGGGGGTGTGGGGGTAATGAATCAGGAGCCCCAGTTCACTTTCGCCTTCAGGGCCTCCCCTATGAGGGTCCCCAGGGCCTCTGCTGGGGCACCCTTCCCCCTACTCCTCACCGCACAGCCTAAGGCTCCACGCTGCCCCCGCCTTACACCACCCTCCTCCCATCCCTCTGTCGGGGGTTCTCTTGAGCCAGCAAGCGGGTCTGCTACCCGGGTTGCCTTCTGATCTTCTATACAACTAATCATGCCACTGCTCTTCCTGGGCCCCCAAGCCCTCCTTCCTCCCGCCGAGGCCTAGTTGTCTTTGTTTTATGTAGGCCTCGTCCTCATGGGTGAAATATCTTAATGTTCTCTCCCAGAGAAGTGCACTCTTCCGTTCAATCCATCATTATTAAACAGCTACTCTGCACTAATTACCGCGCCAGGCACTGGGAATTCAAAGATAAATAAGACAGGATTTCTGAGCTCCAGGCCGCAAGAGTCTGATGAAATAGATAAACATAGGAGCTGATGATAAGCTAAGTGGAATGATAGAAGGCAGTGGTGTGGGTGGTTGGTTGGTATTGAAATGCCAAAGTACCCAACCAGCTGTGGAAGGAAGAGGGGCTCTGGGAAATGCTGCTAGAAAACACGCATTCGAGCTGAGTCATTGAGTCTTAATGGATGATGGATACTGAGCTGAAGGCAGTGAACTCCACTGGGCAAGCCTCTTCAGCAGACGGTAGAACGTTGGTGGGGCACGTGGTGAGAAATGAAGTGTCAGCAGAAGAGGCTGGGGAAGGAGTAGGTGGGTCCCCCGTCATGGAGGGCTTCCTCCCATTCCTACGGTAGAGCCGCATGACCACATATTTGCTCTAGCAAGTTCTCTCTGGGAAAAGTGTAGAAGAGGGATTTCAGGGAAACAAGTCTACATAAGGAGCCCAGGTGGTGAAGTATACTGGGAGTCTAGGAAGGATGTAACCAAATTACCGAAAGAGCAACAAGTGCAAAGAAGAGGAATCATTTCTGAGAAAAATGAGCGATTATAATAGGCAGGGATTGGTAACTGATAGATGTGAGTGGTAAGGAGAGAATGGAGAAGATAGAGGAGTCAAAGGTGACGTCAGTCAGAAGAGACTCCCCCACACCCCCCAAACCTTCACCTTCGACTCACCTTCAAGCACCTGTATCCGTAGCTCTGTCTTCCTATCACCATGCATGAACTACACAGGAATCTAAGGTCTATCCCTCCATTTGCGAACTGTATCCCCAACCCTTTCCTAATTAAGAGCATTGCTCCAGAAATTGTCGCTTCTTTCTCCTGCATCACCAACTTTACCCTCTCTATTGGCCCATCATCCAAATACACAGGCCACCTGGGACCACACAGGGAGGTACCAGGGCCAGGCAGGAGGTCGATGGAGCGAGGGGAAAATGGGGGCAAGAGCCTTGACTGCGTTTCCCGTGGGAAGGAATGGAGACGGCAGGGTAGAGCAGGCTTAGGACTTTTGAAAAAAGGGTGAGCAGGCCCTGGGCCTAGGTGTTGTCCCTGGATGTCTGATACCTGGCCTTTCCGTTGGAGAGCCCGGAGTAGGAGAGCCAAGAAGCACTCGTTGATTTGCATATGAAAGGCACGCTCCAAGGCCAAAGACTTGCTATCTCTACAAATTAACCCCGGGAGGGTCAGTCCCTGTTGGGTGAGCAAGGCCCCAGGTAGTAAAGCCTCACAGCACAATGGGACATCCAGAATGGTCACACGGGATTGTAACCTTGTGCCTAGGGGATCAGCAGAGGTCTCTCCTTCCCGAAAGTGGAACGACGGTGGTGAAGTTGCAAATTGTAGGAGAGTTAGTTGCCAACTAGTGGCATTTCTAAGTTTCTCAGGTTTAATTATTGGTATATCTTCTATTAATGAACATAATGAAAATAAGCCATGCTCATTTAGGCAAATATTTTTATCCCATAATCTCAATGAAATAAATAAAATAATATCAAAGATCCTTATATATCCAGAAAGTAGGTGCCATGCGATTTATCCTCATTGCCACTAGATGACACTGTAGCTTATTGCTTTTTGTGAGTGTCAAAAGATGCCAGCTCACAGGGTTCAAGTAAGATCCGTTGTATTTAAAGAAAAGATGGTTTTGCAACTGGTCTTAGTCCTTCAAAACTCTGATGGCTTATAGGAGATGCAATCAAGCTTGCTGTGCCTTCTCAAGTTCCTAGAATGAGAGCTTTGCTTAAGCCTCACCCAAATCTCTTAAAGTGTGTACAAAATTGCGCGGATCCGCATGCACCAGTGTGTTCTCCTGTGGGCAGCGCCCCGAGCTCTCAGAGTTTGGCTCTCTACGATCTCTTTCCGCCCAAGAAAGAAGTCAGGGTCCGCGGCTCCAGTCCCTAGTTACTCACACCCGAGTTCCTCTTTACCATTTCTAAAAACTAATTAAGATGCAAGTGAAATCGCTTCTCACAGACCACTTTCTGACACTTAAAATGTTCCTGCCCAATTTGTGAGAGTGGGACAACATCAATGTTTCACCATCAGGAGTGGAGAGAAGCAGTTTGCAGCTGGCCTGGGAAGCCAGAGAGAGGAATGCCTGCGAGGCCCGCGCGCAGCAGTCTGGGCGGTGAACGAGGAGCCGCTGTCAAGGACCTGGTATTTCCTATGAATCAACACAGAGATGGGAAGCAAAAAACATGTCAGACACTGAGGCGACCTGCCCGAGACCAAGGTCCTATGTGAAATTTCCATCCAAGGGGTGCAGGGGACAATTCCACTTTTAGGAGAAAAAAAAAAATGGGCAATAACTGATGGAGAAGGAAGACGTGTGTCCCTCTTTAAAACAGCCACAAGTTCTGGTTAGCAAGTGTTTGACTTTATCAGTGCCTGCGCTTTAGCTTCGGTCTCAAGTCCCTATTTTCTTGTAATAGCAGGAAAAACGCAATCTTAACAATGTGAAGTAACGCACCTTTTTTAAACTCACTGAGTTGCGGGTAAATACTCTAAACTCAGCGGGGCTGGGGTCTCAGTCGGCAGCCGCCCACGCTGGTCTGCGTGCTGGCGTCTGCGGCTCGCAGGAGTCGCCGCGTGGTCCCTGCGCATGGCTGTGCGCGACCCTCACGCCGGGCCTTCTGATGACCTCTGCTTCTCCGCCCACCTCGGTTCTCAGGGCAGGCGCTGCTGATCCTCCGAGCTCCAGCCCCACCTTCCATCGCCGCCTCCGGGGAGACCTGCCGACTCCCCTCATCACAGTCGCTCTGTGGCTTAATGCTCAGTGCGGAATAGGCCCTAGTGGGCCTTCGTCGATTAAGCGACACCAGATCCTTGCTTTGACCTTCCTCGCTTCTCATCTCTCTCCCTGCGACCAGACGTGAGAGCTGGGCCTCAGCTACTGTCCCCTTATCAATATGTAGTTCCCATCAAAGCAAAGAGAAGTTATCCAGCTATGCAAAAAAAGCAAAACAAAACAAAGAACCCCTGCTTCATGACTATTAGGTTTATTAGGAAGGCTATACAGTGAGTACTGCGATGGTGTTACAAAAAGGAACACTGAGGCTTACAGAGTTTAACTAACTTCCCCAGGGTCACAGAGCTGCTAAGTGATAGACAGGATTTAAACCTAAGCCCATCAGACTTCAAAGCTGGAGCTCTTGATCCCTCTGTTCTACTGGAAAATAAAACCAGTCCACTGTGGGTAGGAAAAAAAATTACCTGCAGAGCCTATGACTACCAAAATTAATATATGGAAAAGAAGCCACTGTCCTATGGAACAGATTTAAAGGGGTCAGAAAAAATAAAATAATATTTATAGTAGAATGATGCAATTATTTTTTGTGCTTGCTGTTTCAGATACGATGAGGACGGCTTTATTGAAGACGTTGAAGTAAATTTCATAGTGTGGGAAATACATGGCAGGGACGACTATAGTTTTAATACCACTATGAAGAAGGTATGGCATCCTAGAATTAAAGAGGATGAGCATGCAGTTAGAAATGTCTTTCTATTTTAAATCTATATATAAATTATCGCAGGAAAATAAAACCGGTCCACTGTGGGGAGGGGGAAAGAAACATTACTTCTATATCCTATGACTACTAAAATTAATTTATGAAAAAGAAGTCATTGTCATAGAAAACAACTTAGAGGGGTCAGAAAAAAATAAAATTATATTTATAGTAGCATGATGCAGTTATAGATGCATATTTTATTTTCTCTCCACACTGTATTTAATGTTGGATGATTTATGGGTCTCTCTGGCTGCCTTTGGCTTTCGGCCATTGATCACATCTGTGTTAAATCAAACAGACACTCTCTAGGCTTCACCTCACTTGACTTCTTTGCATCATGTGACCCGCTGACCTTGGCTTGACTGTCCCCCATCTCCCAGTTTACCTTCGCGTTCTATGACAGGTCGCGCTTGGCCTGCATAGCGGATCCCCGGTATTCTGCCCGTCCACGGTGCAGGCCACAGCGCGCGGCCTTACGCTCCCACCGCCACTCCATTCCCAGCCACCTCCCTCGCCGTGGGGCTTCCCGCCCCTGCCTGGGCTTCGGGATGGAGCCCCGCTAGAAGTTACCAGCATTGATTCCTGAGATTCCCCAGAGGGCTCCTGCTCAAACAAAACCAAAGTGACGTGCTCCTTCCGAAGCAACTTTCTCATCTACCAGAGACCTTAATTCTCCACGGACAACCCACCCAGATAGCAGCCGAGTGGCGGGAGCCCAGCTGCTATCCTCTCTGGAGAACTGCAAGCACTCATTGTCCTTGAATTATGTTCAAGGACAAACCCGTCCCACCGCACACTCCTCTCACATTTGTTCACCACTCAGCGTGCAAGCCCTCTTGGCCTATGTCCGCCATCTCATCCTGAAGCTACCGTGTCCCTCCATACCTTGGCCCACGCTCCCACTACTCTCTGCCTGCTCACACCTTTCCAATGTACCTTGGGGTTAAATGCCCTTAAGTCCTTCTTCCATAAGTGTGCTCAGAGGGTATCATTTTCCCTATTTTTCTACCAAATCCTATGTTTCTCTCCCTTGAGGCTGAGCTGTGGAATTGAGGTTCTCCCTAATCCACAGTATTATTTCCAGATCGTTAACTCCTCACCCTCAGGAGAATGCTATTTGTCATCTAGTCACCGTCTAACCCATCCTGACCTGTTCCTGTCATATACTCAGAGTTTAATGAACAGTCACAGTGGACTCCGGAATTCTGCCAGCTGTCATGTAGGGTAACTGCTGGGGGAAGATCCTTCAGAACGGGGACTGCGTTTTCCAGCCCCTGTTGTATCTAACTGGGGCCACGTGACCGGTTCTGACCCCTGGAGCGTGAGCAGAACTTGTATGTGTCATCCTCAGGATGGAGTGTTTTAGGGGGGACCACGTGAACTTCCGTGCTTCCTCTCTCCCTTCACGTGTCAGCATGTGACAGCAACAACGAATGACAGAGTAGAGCATGCGGGACGAAAGGGCCGGGGGGACTTCAAGGGGCCACCAGACAGAAAGAGCCGAGCTCCTGATTCACGTCTTCGAGGAGGGTCATCCATAAGAGCATCAACCCAGGGACATCTGCACTGAATTATGTGGGATCGAGGTTTAAAATATTAATGGGTAAACCTCAGAGAGCTGGGGTTTATTATTGCAGCACACAGAGAGGGTCTCAACTAATATAACTCACCCTATTAAAATTATAATGAAATTCAAACGGTTCAGTCTCTGATCTCAACCCCTAATTCTTTAGTTTTTTCTTTATTACTCCCACTATTGCTCTGCTCCTCCTTTCTACTCACACGATTGAATGTACATCACATCGAGCCCTCTGCTTTCTCCCTCTCTAGTCCTTCCACTTGTCTTCTTTTCTTTCCCTAACTTGACATAGTTCAGTTTTTCAGTCAATTTTTGTTTTGCCAGTATCTTTCCCCAATGTTGTTCCTGTTCACTCTTATGGGCAACTTTAAACATCTAGTCTTTCTGCCTTATCCATGCTTATATCTGTGCTGCTGATCACTTCTAGAAAAAAATAAAATTGGAATAACTGGAATTAGGAACTCAGCTATGGAGAGTGATGGCTGAAAAGAGAATTAGTCAACTGGAAGAGCGGTCGGAAAGAAATATACAGAATTATGCATAGAGAGATAAATTGATTTAAAATAGAGAAAAGAACGTTATGGAGATGTGATGCTAAGACCTAAGAACTGGAGTCCTAAAAAAAGAGAGAAGAGAGCTTCTTGGCCAGAAGCAATATTTTCCAAAGCTGGTGGAAGACATCAGGGCACAGAAAGTAATCTGCATCCAGAAACACCACTGTAAAATATCTAAAGTCAAAAACAAAGAAAAACCTTAAAAGTAACCAGAGCAAAAAAGATGATACCTTCCAAAGAGAAATAAAGCTGATTTCTCAATGGAAATAATAAAAACCAGAGAACTTTGAACAAAAATATCTTTAAATTACTGAAAGACAATGAAAAAAGATTTGAGAGAAAGTGACAAACATTAAAGACGGGCAAAATATAGATCCAGTTGATGGATAAATGGAATCCCTGAAAAAGACAACCAAGTAAAGGAAAAAAACCAACACTAATAATTCAACAAACATCTCTCCCCTCATAAAAAAGGATTTGAAGCTTCATATTGAAAGAGTATGCCATAAACCTGAGGATATAAAATCAGAACAGCCAACTCAAGGGGACATCCAGGCAAAAAGCAAGCAATTCATAAGAAAAACAAAACTAAATTATCAGCAGACATTCTATAGCAATGCTTTATGTCAGAAGAAAATGGAGTAAAAGATTTAAAATACTAAGTGTAAGACAAGAATTTTTATATGCAGCAAAGCTGATTACACTAATAAAAGGTACAAATTGCCATCAACATGTAAAAAACTCAGATAATATTGTTCCCATGAGCCTTTCCTGAGTAACTTATTAAATATAATAAGCATTGTACAACCAAAATTACTAAAGAGATATCAAAATAAGAATTAGAAGAAATTATACTATATTTAATATAGTATAGAGTTACTTAAAACTAAAACAAAATGAGAGTGAATAGGAAAAGAGTATAGTATACAATGGATGTACTTTCTGACAATGTAGATATAGTACAATTGTAAAAATGGTAGGCGAATGTGAAGAGCCTATGCAAAGGAAAAAAATATAACCCCATTTACTAATCATGATAGTGGTAGTAATATTTGCATTGCTATTCTGAAGCTGTGAGGTTGTATCACGTGAGATAAAGCAAATGTGTAATGATGGGATATTCTAACACTATCATTCTTCCACCAAGTGTTTTTTGGTAAAAGCAAGGAGATAAAAATGTAAGATAGAAGTTAGTCAAAAATCCTGAATTTGCATAGAACTCAATATAAACACATGAGGTATTGTAATAGATATTGGTCTGCATATACAATATAGGAATATAATGTTTATGGAGAGAGATAGAGAGAGAAATAGATAAATTTTTCCTGCTCTATTAAGATCCCTGGAAATGTAACTAATCAGTAGCAGTTAAGTATCCTTAGTACCCAGATTATGACCTTGAAATAGCATTTACCACTGAAATTCTTAGATGAATGGCTGATTCCAAGCCTGAAGAAGGAAATGTACAGGATGAACTTGGAGTCGTTTGACATACCCAAAAGCAAGGAAGCATCAAAGGCTGCTCGGGCCACGTCAACAGTAATCAGAAGTCACCATGAAGACAATCCTACCGGCCAAAGACGGGACAGGTTGAGCTACTTTAGGTTAGTTACTGCAATGGGTTAAACTCATTAAATATGTTAAGTCTGCAGTCATGATGATTTTTTTTTAAGTTTACCTTTGGAGAATGATAAGCAATAAGAAATAAATTTCTTATTTTGAAAACAGGCAAAAAAAGAAACAAATATTTATCCTACCTCCTAAATAAATTATACCAGTGGGTAACCAAATAGGTGACAGGAAGCATCTTTTCATAAAATTATTTCAGTTCACAAATTTAAAAAAAAAAAGAAGAATTTGAATATCATCACTTTACAACTAAAATTATAGAGGCTATTATGAATAAACTTATTTCAATGAATCTGACAATGGACAAATGGATAAAATGAGCAAATGCCTTGAAAAACACAATTTAACTAAGTTTCTTGTATTCCTAGAAAAAAAATAGAAACCTCTAATCACAGATGGCTTTGCTGATGAAGTATATAAACATCTTTTACTTCAGCCTTATAAAAACCCATCCAGATTATTAGGGTAAGAGGAGCATGTTCCAATTCATTTTGTGAATCCAGGAGGAACTTAAGACAAAACAGAATTTTGAGACAATCTAGCTCATGGCCATTGATATAAAACACTGAAACAAAATAGTAGCAAATAAAACTCATCAATATATTAAAAAATAATATAGCCAGACCAAGTTTTGTTTATTTCACAAAGAAGAGCTGGGATAACATTTGAAAATCAAAGTAATACACCATATTAACAATAAAAAGAAAAGACATGATTATTATAATAGTTGATGAAACATCATTTGATTAAAAAATTATCATCCATATGTAACATTATTTTTAAAATAAATCTTAGAAAATTATAAATAGATGGTAACTTCCTTAACCTAATAAAATGTAGATACAAGATAAAAACTATAGAAAACATTTAAGGTGAAAATCTGAAAATCTGAAATTAGGAACATGAAATAAGGGTGCCAGTTACCACTATTTCTGTACAACATTGTTTCTGATCTTTGTGATGAGGCAAACAATAGGCAATAAAAATAAATTAAAAGCATACGAGTTGGAAAGGAAGAAATAAAGCTGTCATTCACAGATAACCTAACTGTTCATGTGAAACAGTCCACATGAATGAAAGAGCTTAAGAGTTCTCTCTGTACAAGGTCAATATACGAAAGTCCATTGTTTCCCTGTATGTCAGCAAATATTTAAATAATTAAACATTTTTTAAATACCTCATTTCCAACGGCACTAAAATATATGAGGTTCTTATGAATGAATTGATATACTATCTACATCTTTTGACAGAGCGGCTGTTTAAATGAAGCCCAGACGTGGAAGTCAATGACTGAGCTCAACAAGCACCTCCCATTAGAAAAAGCCTGGGGGCCAGAGGTAAGAAAAACAGCACCTTGCAAATTGCTTATTTATAATAAGTAGTTTGAGATTTCAGTATTAATAAAGCTTGATGCAAACACTTTGGATTCTGTTTGATCTTCTGTTGGTCCTGTTACTAAAAATTTTTTAAAATTATTTTTTGTTACTAACAATTTTGTCTAATTTTATCTGCTGAAAATCTGTGTTTAATTCTCTAATTTATTCCCTCTCCCCCTCTCATAAATAGCTAGTGTATACTCTCTCATCTCTCCTAAAGTTTCCAACACTTCTTCACCCATCCTGATTCTTACCTAATAAACTTGCTTCCTACTTCACCAAAAAAAATTATGGTAATTATCAAATCTGGTGTTAGATCCTGTTATTTAAAGAAGCAAATACTTTTAAGTGTACAATATGGTGCCTTATTGTTTTTAATATTTTGTCAACTATAATTCTTTGTAACTAGTTTCCCTTGTAGTATAACTTGTTTTATATTGTTTTTAAAAACATTATTCTAAGAAGGTACCCTTGGTTATCCATAAGCTTCATCATATTGACAAAAGGACCCATATAAAAAGAAAACTTTTACACACACACACGCACACACACACACACTCTATGAGCTTAGGAACCCCCGATACAGACGTTGAAAAAGAAACACTAAGCCTTCCGTCATTCCACTATTTAGAGACTGGGGAAATGAGGAGGAGCAAAGGAGATTAAGAAGAAATAACCCGAGAGGCTGGAGGAAAGCCATCCTCCTTCAGGTCTTTATTAAAAATCAACTAGTCAATGAAGATTTCCCTCGACAGACTCTAGAAAAAGTCACCCTCGCCCCATGGCAGTCCTTATCTCCCTTCCCTAGTTTCTTTAATGTCATTACCATTTATCACTCACTGACACATTATATAGTCTGCTTATTTATCCATTTTATTATCTGGTTCCCCAACTTGAATGTAAGCTCTGTAAGAGAAGGAAATTTTGTGTGTTTTGTTCACTGCTCTGTCCCCAACATCTAACCCATTATGAATGCTCAATAAGTATTTGTGGAACTAATTAAGTGTAGGTCACCTACATATTTAATGAGCATTAATTCCACTAATAAGAAACCATAAGGAATTAAAGTAGTAATAGAATCAGTTAAAAATAAAACTTACCCTCCTGTTTGTTGAGGGTTCAGGGTTTGAGGATAGGTGTGACCCTCTACTTGCCAAAAGCACACAAAAGGCCCCCAAATGTTCTAAGACTTCACCAAAATAACATATCCCTCGAAACAATGGGTCCCCTGCTAATTAACAGTCACGAAACTTGCCTCAATAGTAGGACATAATGCAGTGGGTCTCAAATGTTAGGGTCCACGAGAGTCACCCAGAGGACGTGCCAAAACAGGCCTCCAAGGTTTCTGACTCAACAGAACTGGGGAGGGGCCCCCAAAATTTGCATTTTTAACAAGTGCCCAGGCGATGCTGGTACTGCCGATCCGGGGGCCACATTTAAGAACCACTGAAATAGTGGCTTCCATTCTAGAAAGATCTGGAGTGCCCGCACCAGGCCCTAAATGTCCCATTCTACTGCAAAAAGACACCAAGCTCTCCCCTAAAAGGGAGAATTCAGTCTGGAGTCTGAAATGATGGAAGGCGGGTACCTGCAAAGACCAGCTCTGTCCTGAGGATAAAGCTGCTGTCGCTGAAGGGCGTGTTAAATGCACGTAACTGAACTGTATGTTAACTGAACATGGCCATCCCAGGTGCCCTCTCCCTGGAACGCGTACCTGGAATGAGGCAGCATTCCTGTTCTGGGAGCTGTGCTGACTGCTGCCCAGTTTTGATGCGGCGGGGATGAATACCCTGCATGTGAGGTCTGGGAGGGTAGCTCGAGAGACTGTAAATTCTCAGGAGAAACCCTGAAGGACTCAGATGGAGAAGTGACATTTTCACAGGTTCTTCCAAGTTAATGTTAGAGCTCGGGAAGGAAAGGGCGAACGTGAGCACTGAGTGGTTGGCTACACACACGTAACGCAAGGCTGGATTCAAATCTCTGGACGAGGCTGACATGCTATTGGGGAAAGTCCTTGGCTAGAAATGAAGTGTAAATTCACAAGGCTAGGGAAGATTTGTTTTCTCAGAGACTAGATGGATTGATTAAGTGGGTTTTGTCTTTATTTCCTGTTTAGAACTATAAGCACTGTTTTTCTTATGCTATTGGAAAACCGGGAGACCTGGAGCAACCGTATGAGATTATGAACAAGTCCAACCGTAACCATTTAGTTTGGCCCATGTACCACACTGGGATGTATGTGTTTCAAGTGAAGATCCTGGATCCAAACTACAGGTAAATACAAATGTTTCATTATTAATAGTCTTAGCATTACTCCCTCAAAATTCAATTTTTATTTGAATTTATTGGGGTGATACAGGTTAATGAAATTATGTAGGTTTCAGGTGTACGATTCTATAGTATATCATCCATACACTGTATTGTATGTTCACCACCCCAAGTTAAGTCCCCTTCCACCACCATTTATCCCCCCATACCTCTTCTACCGCCCCCAAGTCCCCTTCCCGCCTGCCGTTGTCTGTGTTAATTTAATTTGATGTCACCTAGATATTCAATTTTTGTGATTATTGACATATTTGCTCTTTCATTTTTGTAGCAATCACATGAAACAGTCTATAGAGGTGGGAGATGGACATTAATTAAGTTAACCAATTCACAATGACTATGTTCCTTGGCTGTGATAGATGCAAATATAACATAAGTACAACCTCAGCCTTTGAGGTACTTATAAATAAATGGGTTGGGGAAGGAGAGGTGGGGTCCGGGGCACACACGCAAACCACAGGAGGTTAAATCAGAACAAATGCTGAGAGAGTTTCCCAATTGTTTTATTGGGGAGCAAAATAATAATTCAAAGATGGGAAAGATCCATGCTGTTTTGAGCATCGGCAGAAAACTTCCTGGAGAATAAGGAACACTGGTAGAACTGGCATTGCCAGGGGGCTGGAATACACCTTTCTGATGAAAAAAGTCACACGAATACTGAAATGTCCATGGCTTGCGGAGTCACGGAGGAAGGTGGGAAATACCTTGAGTGGGGAAGGCAGAGAACAAAAGAGAACTTTGTTCTAATTTAAGGCACAATGTTGAAGTCAAGTTCAAACCGTGTCCTTAGAGGGCCTCCTTCGCATCTTTACAAGGAATTGTTGCGAGGACAGTGTAGTTCGTCAAAAATCGACCTGGGAAGAGCATAAAGAATGGTATAACAGGAAAATAAACTGTCCGCAGACAAATGAGAAGGCTGCAGTTAACGAGGCAAGAGCTCAAAGGAAAGCCTGGCGGCTATAAAAATAGAAAGGGAAAAGTCTTACAAATCTGTGTCTGAATGAGGGATTATATTGCTCTAATGTGGCAAATGAAAGAAAAGAAGGAAGTGATATGGTTTCCAGTTTTCTAGTCTAGGTGATTGAAAAATCATGGTCTTTTCTTTGACCAAAATAGCTAACGGGGTGGTTTTGCTCTGGAGGAAGTGTTACGGTGAGAGTCCTGACTCGGCACTGGAGGGGAGAGTGCAATATCTCAGTGAAGACGTCCTGCAGACGGTTAAAAATTTTAATCTGGGCCTTGTGTTGGGGGGAATAGCGTATAATAAAGAGGTGAAACTACACATGGGGGTCTCCTCCATAATGATTCCATGAGCACACGTACGTTTACTGATTTCTATAAAGAAAGAACAAAAGGGCTTTAGAGAGCCCCGCAGGAGAACTAGCACGGGTCGCTTGGTTTGGGGACATAGGAACAAAGACTATTCCTAATACTCATCTCAAAATTTCGAAGGTGAGAGGCTGCCTTCAGGCACACCAGCGCAAGGAAGGCTGGAGGGTGACCTGGTGGATGGAAATGGGTTTTCACCCACGACGGGGGTAATGTGGGTACTTGGGTCCATATACCCAAGTGGACTCCAGGAAAGAGAGCTTTATCCAGGGGCAGGAGGGAAAAATTCCACGGAGAGTTTGTTTAAAGGAGTAACGATGAGATAGAATAAAATGTCAATTTCACTCTGCAAAGTCCAATAAATAATGACACTAAGGCATGTCAACATCACTAAGTCAAGAGGGAAGGAAATTCCTAGCAGGAAGAAGAAAAAATGTTGGTCCAATACAGTAGCACCCAGTGGACATGTGAACTGTAAGGAGTTCTCCAAGTTCCAGGATTTATTCAAGGTGATGAGGACGCCTGATAAAGAACAGTACAAGATTTAAACACCACGGTTCCAACAGCTTCCTTGGCAGGGAAGAACTGAGGCCAGCCGAACCTGTAAATAGCTTTATGAGTTTGATGGAGGCCCATGCCAGTAGAGAGTCATAAAAAAATTGTACGGCTCACTCTTCATCAGTAGTGAAACACATCTGAGAAGAGAGAGAGGATTTGGATGGTTTAACTTTATGAAAGCAACTCAGAAAAGAGTTGAAATGGTTGCAGTCAGAGCTGAACGTTGAAGGAACAGTGAATGGCGGGAGCTGGGAGGCGTTGAATTGAACGCTGCCCAGTTCAGTTCAAGCCTCCAAAGAAGGAATTACAAAAATACTTGTTAAAAAAGGACCGTGTCATCTCATAAGCACTAAGCATGACAGGCATCAACAAGGGGGGCTTCCTAGGATAATTTCTGAGCCAACAGTCCAAGACCCTCTGTTGATTTGAGACCCACTTAGCCAAGACCTCAAGTATAAATTATTCTGATAATTATGGAGAAATCAACTGCTATTTTATACTGATTCTGGGGAAAAAAAGATGTTTTATAACTATTAAAATAATTTTCTGACAAAAAAAAAAAAAGAATGAAAATGTCATAGAGTCTAGGGTCACCATTAATGTTCCACAAAACATTATCTCAAAAAGATCCCTGCACCTCTGTGTTTATGGCAGCATTGTTCACAATAGCCAAGATGTGAAAGTAATCTAAGTGTCCATCGATGGATCAATGTATAAATAAGATGTGGGATATATAGGTGTATAAGTATATATTAGTCATAAAAAAGTAGAAATCTTTCCATTTCAACAACATGGACGGATGTTGAGGGCATTGTGTTAGCAAGTCTACTTGGCTTTGAATCTTCCTTTGCCACTAGTAGCTGTGCAGTCTTAAGTATATTGTTTTGTCTCTTTGAGCTTAGTGTTCTGTAAAATGAGTCAATAACACCTATCTTATCGCACTCCGAAGGGTAAATGAAGTACCTGGGCAAAAATCCCAAACTTTGCTGGTGCTTAGAAAACACTCAATAAAATTAAGTTCCTTCTTCTTTCTTCCTCCCACATGGAGGTAGGTGAAATTATATCACTATTGTTTGTTTAGCTATATCCTGCCTCATTCCAACCAATATGCTAAATTATAAGAGATAGGAACTTTAGAAATAATAATAGCTTTATACGTAGGCTTTCAACATTCTCAGCTTCCTGAAGGAGTCAGCCTATATCAGGTGAACATTGCATGCGCTTTACACAATTGGAAAACCCAGCTCTGCTACTTACAACTTCATTTCCTCATCTAAAAGAAAGAGTTGCTCTAAGGATTAACCAAGATAATTCATGGAGAGCATTTGGTACATTGCCTGCTCCATAGCAAATGCTCAATTGGTATTATTTTCAGTAATGCTAACAGTCAAAAAATGCTAACTACTTATTATTTTTGTCAATACTCATTATTGTTAATTATTATTAATATCATTATTGCTGTTGTCTTGGGAACCGTTATCAAACTGGTGTAAAATGTGCACAGGGAGGTTGCAGTAACCAGCTCTTGGAAGTTTGTAGCAAGCAGCCTAAGTCACACACACAGAAAAATCATCACCGCTATCGTGTAAATGTATCTATTCTCTCCCTTGTCAAGAAAATGACACTTGAACTACGATTATATATCATTTGATCAGTACCATAGAAGTGTGGAGACAGCCTTAATATATTGTACTTCATTTAATCTTTAATATTATTTTTCTTCTTTGCAGTTTCTGTAACCTGTCAGCTATATTTGCAATAGAGATCTTTGGAGTGATTCCCAGGTAATAATTGTGCCTAATCAGGCTTTAAAGAGAGAAATTGTAAAAGACACAGGTAGCAGCTAAAAAGGAAAAGCCCCTCTCTCACTTTCCTGGGACCCGAATATCTCTGCCCTATATCTGGTGTCCTAAAATTGTATGTATCTATTGTATCGGGGACATGATAGGAGGGAATTCCTGAGGCTCGTCACAACAGCTCGGGTGCCTGTTCGTTCCATTCCACTCAACAGCTGCCGTCTACCCATGAAACATATCTTCCGACTCCACCGAGGGGGCAGCCAGCGACAGTGGGACTGGAAGGGGACCGTGGCTGTGCGTGCCCTGACCCTGCGTCAGCCCTGGGCCAGTGGCCACGGTGCCAAGACCTCCGGGAACTGCTTGTGAAAGCATTTCCCTGGATGGCACAGCAGTTTCTTTGGAGAGCAGATTAAAAGTCCTAATATTAAAGTTGGGACCACAAATGACTTTGCTTCTCTGTTCTGGGACTGCTTTTGTTTTTGTTGTGTGGGGGGGGGTTTTGTTTGGGGGTTTTTTTTTGATATGTTAAACAAACATGTAAGACAAACCATTATTTATGGCCCTACTTTCAATATTACTGACTCCTCAATTTGTTGTACTAATGGGAGGTTAATGATGCGAATAATCAGCAAATGAGATAAGCCATGTGTTGTTTCTAAGTAACTTTGGGAAACACACATAGCCTTTTTGCAGCAACTTCTCTCATTATATTGATCATACTGTCTCTTTTCCTGCCTGGTCAGCCTCAAACACTAAAAGGTAAACATCTGAGGTTAGACAAGTATGTCCTATTAATCTTTGTTCTCTGTCAGTGGAATAGTAGCTAGCCATTCAGAAACTGTTTAACTAAATAAATTAACAACCAAAGTGGACAATAATTTTTAATGACCCTGCTTTCTTTTCATTTTAAATTTCAGTCCAAGCGGCTACCTGGTTGTTTCTTTCCTCTTCTTCCTGCTGCTACTGTTCTTCAGTATTCTGGTTTTGAGTTACTTCCATTACATGAGGATTTATAAACAACATGTTTATGAACCAGATTACAAAATTGAAAGAAAACATAAGAATAGTTAGAAAAAAATGCAAGCGTGTTTACCACGAGTGTATGTATGTAGGAGCATATACGTATATGTGATGTCTTAGTGTTCCCTTTTTGTCTTTTTAGGCCTCTTATACCCAGTTTACAACTTCTTTATATTACATCTTCTTTGTTAACATTACTAGTGTGGTTTCTGTCTCCTGATAATCACCCCAAAAAAGGCTCCCTGTTATGTTCAACTCCCTCTTGCCTCCTTCCATTTAAATGATAAATTTATGAATAAATATATACTTATTTTTTCTGTCTCCCATTGGTTTGTAAGCTTCACAAGAACAGGAGTCATGTCTGTTTTATCACAAGGTACTAGTGATACACAGTGGCTGGTACATAAAAGGTCCTCATGACATACATGCCCCATGAATGAATGCCGAGTAATTTCAGTTATTGGCAGATCAATACCTGAATTATATGAGCAATACAATTTGTTGCCTCATCAGACAGTGAATTCAGTTTTGTGCCTGATGAATTTGAAGTGACCTTGGGACATCCGTGGGGTGGGCAGGACATCAGCTCCTCAGAGTCGTCCACATCCAGTTCCCCCGGACCTGTAAATATGTTACTTTGTTTTATCTTGCATGGGAAAATAAGACTGTGCAGACATGATTAGTTAAGGATCTTAAGATGACAGTACCCTGGGTTACCCAGGTGGGCCCAATGCAATCACAAGGGTCCTTTTACTTAAAAGGAAGACAAAAAGCACAGAAGATACGGTGATGGAAACAGAGGTGTGGGCGATGTGGCCGTGAGCCAAGGATCAGAGCAGCCTCTAGACACTGAAAACGGAGGAGATTCTAGCCTCGAGCCTCCAGAAGGAACATGGTCCTTGATTTTTAACCTAAGGAGACCCATTCTGGAATTCTGACTTCCAGAGTTGTACGATAATGTGTGTTGTGTCGTTTTTAGACCACTAAGTTCGTGGTCATTTGTCACAGCAGCAACGGGAAACTAACATATCTGGTGGAGAAGTCCAACAGGCTGCCGGTTGTACCGGCCTTATGGTCAGGAAAGAAGGGATTAGGAGATGAGGGCATCAGAGTGGTCAGCACGCATTGATAGTTTCAGCTGAGAGGGTAGATGAGCTCAGAAGGGGCAAAGGGAGACTGTAGAGGGCGAGGCGAAGTGAAGCCATGGTTTGAGCCAAGCAGTGTAGCTAGAACCAACTGAGGTGTTAATGCACGGCGACTTTCCCCACATCTGCTGTTTGCTCCGTTGGGTTAGGTGGAAAGGAAGGCCACCGTGGGGACAGGAAACAAAGCAGCCGGGTACACCAAAAATAAACTTTAAAACATTGTCTACAACCTGTCTGAGGACAGTCAGCTACCAAGCATGCACACAGCACGTACGGCCACTCAACACTGCCTGGCAGTTCAACTCTATCTTCCGAGAGTTTTCCCAATTTTACACCTTCTTCTCTCCAAATTCCTTCCACTCCCTCTCTACCCTCTCTGACTCTCCAATGATCATATTGTCTCTTATTCATTGAGAAAAGTCAAAGCAAATCAGAAGAGAATACCCTCATTTCCCCACCCCCAAATTTCTAACCTGCTTTCATTGATCTCTATGTCCTTTATGCCATCACTGTGCACCTGCATCTACCTTATGTGCTGTCACTATAGACAAAGCATCCCTCCTACCAAAGGCCAGCCCCTCCAATTGTACTGGGTGGATCTCTTCCCCTTCTTACCTGGCCCTTGGGAATCTCACCCTCTCCCCTACATCACCAGTTTCTCCACCCATCCCCCCCATTTTTCTCTTTACATACATATATAACATAATACACTCATCTTTAAAATGCCTTCCATTGACCACACAGACCTATCCCATCATTGCCCTAAGCTGCTATAGTCTCCGTTTCTTTCCCTTACATTCACTCCTCAAACCATTCCAATGTTCTTTGGATCCCAACCCTCCCCTGAGATGGTTCACGTCAAAGCTACCAGTAACCTCCGTATTGCTGAGTCTAATAGTCTTGTGGCTCCTGTTACCATGTTCTCCTGCATCACAGCCCCTCTTCCTCCTCTACTTGACCTCTAAATGAAGGGTCTGAGAGCTTTATCTTTGACCCTTTTTGATCGGGGATCTCAAAACACTTAAACATTTTTAGCTTTAGTTATAGTTAATAGGCTTAGTGATCAATACATGCAGAAAGCTCTTGTCCCAGGAACTGGAATTTATGACCAGTCCTACCCTGACTCCAGAAGACCCATAAGCAATTCGACCTTTGTGCAAGCGATTGAGATGGTTTCTGAGCCTTTGTGCTCCAGGGAGGGGACGTCTGCATAACAGGATGCAGATAATGAATCACCTGTCAGCTGATGAAAGGATGCCAGGAATATTGCCAGACTGCAACTTTACTCTGATTAACCTTTTCCCTGAATTCCAAACCCCTTACCTGCTTTTTTTCCTGAATTCCAAACCTCTTACTGCACTATTCTCTGTATAAAAACAGTTGGCTGGAGATGAGCTATAAGACGGTCTTTCAGGGTACATAACCCGCCTTCTTCTCAGGGCACTGGCCATCTGAATAAAGCACCTATAAAGATTCAATCCTTGTCTCTACTTATTGGTTCTGGTAGCAACAGGTAGCATGAACACCTGCTTTTCCAGTGTCACTTTTTCTCTCTTTTTTTATCTACTTTTCCCAGATAATCCAATCATTCCCATGGCTTGCAGTTTACCCAAATGCCTACTTGACATTATCAATGTCTAAAAGGTATCTCCAACCTAACATGACCAAACCATAACTCTTCACTCCCCCGCTCCCAACCTGTTCTTCCCAATTTTCACATCTTATAAATGGCACCACCATCCTCTCCATTCCTAAGTTGAAAAGCTAGAAGTAATACTTGAATGTTCTCTCCCTAACAAACTCAACACTCAGCCTGTTAGCAGATCTTGTAGACTGTAATTCCAAAATATTCCAAAGATCTCTAATTTTCTGTGTTCCCCACTACCCCCAATATCTAAGCTACCTTTTGGTGTGCACTTGTCGAGCACCTTCCTAATTAGTTGGATCAATGAGCTCTGAGGTTTCCTTTTAATGGGATACTTGTCCCCTGATATTTGTAAGGCTGGCTTTTTGTCATTCCGTTCTCAGCTTAAACCTCACCTTGTCAAGAGACCTTGACGCTGCAGCCATTCTAAGATTACTCTCAACCAATTCATCCTATTTTATTTTCTGCAAAGGGCATGCCGCCAATATTTTGTCCTCCCTCCTGTTTATTACCGTATTTCCCAAGGCCTACAACACTGCCTGGCGCATGATAGCCACACAAATATTTGTTGAATGCATGCAAAGCCACCAACTGTGTGCTAGGGTTGTTCTGACTTGTGTGTACTGCGCTCTCTTCCCATCTCAGCAGGACAGTTTCTTAAAATGTAAAATTCCATACTGAGGATCAATTGGATGTCTGTTACACCCCACGCACCCCCAGTAACCCACCTTCCTCTATTTCCTCACCACCGCCCCTTGCAAAAAGAAAAGTGAGAAGGGATTTGGAAAAACAGGTCATTGCTATAGTCTGTTGCCACATTTCATTGGCTTCCCCGGGCTCAACGCTGCAGAACTAATAGCAGCACCAGTGAAGGGGGCGAGGGGGTGGGGTGCGGGTGTCAAACATCGAAGACTTCACCTCCTGCCAAGGGCGGACCGCAAAGAATCTGGCGCAGATCCCAAGCACTGCATGCTGGGAACTGTAGTCTCCCGGGAAGCCCTGGTCTGGATAGGGTCGCGACCCGCGCGGCATGCTGGGAACTAGAGTTTCCCTGGAACTCCGCTCCTCCAAGGAGGAGGGCCGCGGAGGCTGCGCCATCTTAGGTCCCGAGGTGCGGCCGCGGAGAGCCAGAGCGCAGGCGGGCTCCGCTCGGGCGCCGGGATGGCTCCGCCCCCGGAGCCCCCGGCGCCCGCCCCTCGTCCAGGCCCCGCCTTTCCCCACGTGTCTGCCGCCTAGGGGAGGTGCCTGAGCGCGAGCGGGCCCGCCACCGGTCGGCCCCGTCGGCGCAGAGGGTCCTGTCGGCGGCGCCCTGGAGCGACCCGGCTTCCCGATGGTCCTACGCCGGCTGCCGCGGGCCGCGCCGTGCGCTTAGTGCCCGGCTCTGCCCCCTGAAGCGTCCGCGGGGGCGGGAGCGGCCTCGGCCCCGCGGAGACGGAGCGGCTGGAGGACGAGGCGGCGGCCGCGGGGAGGATGGGGGCTAACCAGTTAGTGGTGCTCAACGTGTACGACATGGTGAGTGCGGCCCCTGGCGGCCCCCGCCTGGCCCTGGCATCCTCCTGCCGCCGGGGCTCGGACCCCGGCCCCGTCGCTTCCTGCCTCGGCTCTCCGCCTCCAGCTTAGTTCCCGGGGTGGGGGGAGGGGAGTATTATTATTTTCTAATCCTCGAGCGTGGTAGTGCTGCCCAGTCCGCCCAAGGGCTTTGGCCAGGGCTCGGGTCGGCTGGAATCTCTCCCGCGCCCCCAGCTTGGCTCGAACCCCGGCCCTGGGCCCGACACCTGGGCCGGCGAGCAGTGTCCTTTCCGCAACGCTTCCGTCGCAGGTCGGACTTCCCCATGCCAGCCACCGCGGGGACCCCGGGGCTGCCCACTCCCCCCTGTCGATTGCCCGCGGTCCTCGCTCCTGCGCGCCTCTCCTTCTGCCGAACCAGACATCTCTCTTCATGCCCAAGTCTCAAAACTCTCAAAAGCCCCTCTGCAAGTCCAGAAAGTCCCAACTGTCGAGGTCCATGCCAGCATCCCTGCAAGGGTGCACAGCAGCCAACGCTCCCAAGCCTCCAAGCAACCTCATTAAAATAAGCGAGGCTAAAATTTATCAGGAAAAGGGCCCAGCTGAATTATTCAGAGATCCTTTCCTAGATTTTGAAGACCACTTGCCAGGTGATGCAACAGGTATTTGATGTGACCACAGGAGAGGGAAGGGCAGAACTTGTTTATTATGTCATCTCACTTTGAAGCACGGAGAATGGAGTCCAAGGATTGCTTTGCCTTATAATTGTGCTTGAAACATCCAGTAGAGCATCATCGTCGCAGTTGGATGTGTGCTTGGGTTTGTGTGCCTAGCTTTTGTAATTTCTTGATTTTTCTTAAAATCCCTTGTAAGTGGATTGGCAAAGGAAAAAGTCCACTTCATTATTTGTAGTGCCTTGAAGATGTAGAAGAACAGAAATACTAGCGGTCAGAAGTCTTGGTTCTCATTCACAGCTCTAAACTTTTTCTTTCCTTGCATAAGTTTGAGTTTACAGTATAAGCTCTTGGGGGTAGGGAGGGTGGAAATTCCCCTCCTAACCTGGGAATTATGTCAGGAGGGCATAGAGACTGCCCAGGACTTGAGGTGAGTTCTCAGAGTTCACGTAAGAGCTTGGAGGCTGGCATATTGAGAAAAGTGAAACATGATAAAGTTACAGAGGAGAATAAGCAGAATTAGAGATCCCCCCAAAAAACCACGACACTTTGTAAGGTCTTAGGCCTATGGCACTGGTTAAGAAATAATTTTCTAGATTTAAACTTTTTGTGCTCAGCTGGATACCTTTGTTTTTCAAGACTTTAATTGCCATTTTACTATCTTTTTACCCCCCACCCCAGTGATCTGAACTTGATTTCTTGTTTATTCAAGACTATTACAAATCGTCCCTCAAGATCTATCCTGCCCTTGAGCGTGCCTTGTCTTCTGGATTGTTAAACCTCTCTGTCAAGGAGGGTTACGCGGTGGCCAGGAGGCTGCAGTTTCATAGCCTAAATGAGATGCATGAAAATAGAGGGAGAGAATAGTTTTGGTTTTTAAATAAAACCGAAAATACTTTGTTTTGGCATGTGGTGGGTTTCTTTACACCTTAGGTATTTTGTGAATCACAAAAATCATTGGTAATTGTAGTAAATGTATGAAAAGCTAGAGATATTAAAACCAGTATATTTTAAAGGGAGCAATGTTCTCAAAGATGTTAACAGTATTAACAAGCTAACAAAGATCTTGTTTCTTGCATCATTTTCGGGAAGAGGTGGTGACAGAGGAAGCTGGTAGGGGAAAGGGTTGGACCGGCCCAGGTAACTGTCTACGAGTACGGAGGGTTTGGGATCCAGACCGTGGTCTGAGTCAGTGTTTTCTCTGCTGAGTATTGTCATTTGTATTTCTTATATATTGCTTTTTCCTCTCAAGAGGAAGGAAAGGAAGCATGTGACTGAAATAGCTGAATTATTAGACTTCTCTTAAATTTGTCTTTGTATGTGCTTTTGAGGGCTTTGGTTTATGATGGTCTCAGGTCACTAATTCAAGCAAGCTACAATTATTTAATTACAACCCTGTAGAAGTCGCAAAAATGAATTAATTATCCTTTCTTCTTTAAGGAATTTAGAATATCATAGGAGAGGTGCAACAGTAGTAACAATCCAAGGGAGAATAGCACGGTAAGAGCAGAACAAGATGGTAAAGAGGGACTGTGAGGCTGCAGGACCAGGAAATGCTGGAAGATGAAGGGGAACTTAGGATCAATAGGAGCTCCCAGGCGGAGAACCTCAGCCTGAATGGAATGGCAGGGGTAGGAAACACAGGTTGGATTTGGGAAGTGGCAGCTGGTCCAGAACAACTGGAGGATAGGGTGCATGAAAGGAGACAAAACTGAAAGTCTGATTAGAACTTTTCTTAGTTGGGGGCTGGAATGAAGGGCTTGGAGGGCCCATGAGCCTGGGAGCGGGGGGAAGGGACCACCGCGGGCGGGGGGGAGGGGGGTAGTTTTTGTGGTCAGGAGCAGCAGGATCAGAGTTGCCTTTTAGAATTAAGACTAGTGGGTTGAGGTACAATGTATCTCTTATACTCATTTTGCTCAAGTCAGTCTTGGCTTTTGAAACATTTTTGCTTGATGTCAAAGGCATATTCCTTTTATCTTTGGTCATACTTCCTCTGCATCATACGTGCCTTTGATGAGGAGCGCTGTGGCCTGTACTGCCTAGCACAGCAGCCGTCTGTCTGGTCCAGACTTTGTAAACACGCACTAATAATCACTGTTCATGGGGACCTCTTGCCGCGGATCCTTGTGTGTCCTGTCTGTGAGGCCGTCACCGGCTCCTGCTCACTAGGTGGGGAGTTGCTGATCATTTCTTTTCTGCCGTAACTCCGCCACGCACACAGCCATTCTATCAGGGTCACCTGTATTAACTTCTCATGGAGGAATAATATAATCCTCATAAGGTTACCTAATCTTACACCGTGCTGCTAAATTATTGCTTGCCGCCTTCTCAGTGATTATGTTTCTCTTTGTACTTTGGGATATTCTGCCACCAATAAAACATGTCTCGGAGTTACTGTCTGAGTCTTGGGAATAAGGTTATTCACATATCCCTGATTGGCTGGCCTACATAGTAAAGCGAGGGATTCGGATTAATTTCAGTTGCTGGGACAGCCTCTGGTGCAGTCGCTCTAGCACAAGGTCTTCCTCTGTCACAGTTCCAGAGTATGCGCTTTTCAGATTATCGTGGCTACTAATGGAACTTTTCTTAAAAAAAAATATAGGGCAGTGTGATGTTTGTAGATGCAATCTGTAGAATTTCTTTTTATTTTTAAATAGCATTCATACATCTTCATGGCCAGCTTCTTAATAAAAAAGAAACACCTTCTAGAACTCTTCAAATAAGGAGCGTTTGGCCCGGACTCCGTTCTTTTGACCCCGCCCCATCTCCGTTGCACTCTTCCAGGAGGCTGTGGGGCCATGCGGATGTGACAGAATCCGACTTCCCATAGATCTGCAGGTCCAAGTCAGGCTTTTCGAATGTGTTCCAGACCCATCTACACATGCTCTTCACCTAAATGACTCCGTGATACCTCTAAAGCAGTATGTCCGGGAACAAACTTTCTCCCTTTCCTCCTTTCCGCACCTCAGACTCTCCCCCTTTACTCCATCCAGCAGCCCTCCCCACCCTCCCAACCTCTCTGGTGCAATTTTAGCTTGAGAACTAGCACCTTCTTCTACTTTGTTTCCTAAGCCAGAACCCTGGGAGTAAAACCAAGTTCCTCTTTATTGCAAACCTTTCATAATCAGTAAGTCACCAGGCCCTGTCCCTCTGATGTCGTCTGGTGGATTCTGTCGGAAAGTAACAGAGAGCTCGACAGTCAGTGACTGGAAGGCACTTAAGTCCACAGACGACAGACGCGGGGTCGGTCCACCCATCGGCCGCATCCTCGGCGCCCAGACTTGCATCCTCCTGCTCTGCTCTCCTCGCGCGCTGGCTTTTGTTCTTGGTTGTGTTGCGGTGTCCTCAGCGCCATAAAATGACCGTCCTAGCAGCAAGCACAGCGTCATCCTCCAGGAGGACATGAAGGGAGACAGGTGAGCAGGCTTTTCTCTACATGCACCTCTCTCCTTGGACTAGAGGGAAAAGGCTTTGCTGGAGCCACCTCTTTCCCAAGGGACTGTCCACAGTTGTCCCCCTGTTGACGACGATGGAGCCGACGATGGAGCCGAGAAAGAGGCTGCCTGGCTCCTCCCGCTCTCTGGTGAGTGGGGGGTGAGGAAGGCAGGGAGGGGGAGATGGCAGGTAACTGGGGACCTGCGATGTCTGTCACTTTTCTTTTTCCTGAGGATTCTTTAAACTGGTTGCCTGATCCCTCATTCCTGCTGTTGTTTCACCAGTTCAAGCCCTATCATCTGTTTGTGTGCCGTGAAAGCCTTTCTACTAGTTTCATCCTCTGGTATTATTTCATTTTAATCCATCTTCTGTTACCAGAGGGAGCTTTCTGATTCATAAGTGACTGTGCTATTCTGCTGCACGTTCACCTGCAGGATAAAGTCTAATGCCCTGGATGATGTAACCCTACCTGACTGTTAGAGGCACATCTGCCGACCCCCGTTGCTCCCCCGCCCCCCACTCGACACCCGCGACGCTCACATAGTGAAACTTTAAATACCCAAGCAGGCTGTCCTGCACTAGTGCGCCCCTCAGGATCTTTGCACGTGCCAGTCCTTGTTTCTGAGGTGTCCTCCTTCAAAAAGCAGTCAGCGCAGCTTCTCCTCGTGGCTGTAGCTGAGCCCTTCCTCGGCAGGCTCGGGCGAGCTCTGTGCCCTGGTTGTGCTTCCTACCTGTCTCAGTCGCTGCCCGTACGTGACTGCTGTGCATCCCGCTAGGCTGCGTCCTTCGATAGCAACCTACTGTCACCAGAGTCTACAACAGGGCCTGTCGCTGTACGGTGTTCTGGTAGTAAACATTTACCGAGGAACGGGATTTCAGTTAGGCAATTTTATCAGG